TGAGCTCTGTCGTCCGGGGGCTCAGCAGCTTTCCTTCCCTTTGTCCTCCAGCCTTCCCGCTTTCTGAGCAGAGCTGTTAACTTATGACCTCCCAGCCGCTAAGTCGCGCTTGCTGTCGGAACACAGTCCGTCAGGCCCCTCCGCTTTTTGCAAGCCAGACTCGGGGGCTCTGCTTGGCCGGCGAGACGCCCCTCCACCTCGGCTCCCTCCCGCCAGTCCGTGGAGCGCGCACCGCCTCGCCGCCCTTCCTACCCTCTTCCGTGGTCCTCTCGTCTGCGCTTGGCTCCGGCGACTCCATTCTGCTAATCCTCTGGTGGTTTTCTGGGTTATTTAGGCAGGTGTAGGTGGAATTTAAGTGATCAGCAGGACGCGCGGTGAGCCCAGCGTCCTCCTACGCCGCCATCTTCCCTCTCCATTTCATTTAATTCTTAAAACAACTTTAAAGATAGATGTTAATATAGTCCTCATTTTATATATAAGGAAGCTGAGGCTTAGGGAAGTTCAGTTACTTGCTCAGAGTTATAGCTATCACGTGGTAGAACTGGGATTGATTCTAATTCCCATTCTCTCAAAGCCCAAGCTTGTAATTCACTATATTGTGATAACAGAAGGTCATTCAGGGGCACAGAGGAGTTTGGAGTGCATTGCTGAGTATGAGTAGGGTGGAGGGGGTAGGGATGGTGGGAGATAAGGTTAGAAAAGTAAGCAGTCTAAAAATGAAATTTATTTCTTCATTGTTTCTCCATGCTAAAGAATTTAAACTTTATCGAAACAGAATGAGAAGTTATGAAGGTTTTTAAGCCCAGAAGTCATAATCATACTTGAGTATTAGAGAGTGTTTGTGGCCAGAATAGAGGATGAGTTAAAGAATAGGGAGACTGGTCTGGAGAGAAGCTATGGTGATAATGTGAGCCAGTGATGGCAAGTCTAGGGTCTAAGACCCTGAAGATGGATGAGATCAAACAGATTTTTTTTTTTTAACTTAGAAGGTGAAATTGAAAGGATTTAGTATCAACCACTTAGGTGGAAAAAGGTGAAAATGAGAGTATGTTGTGACTATCAGATTTCTAGACTGATGGCACAGCACAGGTATGCCTCCAGTGTTGAGATGCAAAATTGTGGGTGATGAGTCAGGCAGTTCATTTTAGGACATAATGAGTTTGTGATGCATGGGGACATCCAGACAGTTAGAAAATACAGAGCTATAATTCAAGACAGAGATCTGAATTTAGAATGAGGGTTTATAGGCATGTGAGTAAATAGAGAAACATACTGAGTGAGAAATACTCCCCTAGAAGTCTGCATATGTTTATTGCCACATTCTTTAGTACCAGAAAATTAAAATGTGATTAAAACATTTCAGGGAGAGGCGGCTGGGTGGCTCAGTTGGTTAAGTGTCCATCCCTTGATTTCGGTTCAGGTCATGATCTCACAGTTCATGGGATCAAGCTCTGCATCAGACTCTAAGCTGACAGCACGAGTCTGCTTGGGACTCTCTCTCTCCCTCTGCCCCTTCCCTACTTGCTCGCTCTCAATAAAGAAACTCAAAAAAATTGTTTAGGGAAAAATTATCTAATAATGACTTTTTTTCCTTCAGATTTTTATTTAAATTCTTGTTAGTTAACCATACAGTGCAGTATTGATTTCAGGAGTAGAATTCAGTGATTCATCACTTATAAACAGCTCCCAGTGCTCATCACACGTGCTCTCCTTAATGCCCATCACCCATTTAGCCCATCCCTCCCACCCACCCACCCACCTCCCCTCCAGCAACCCTGTTTGTTCTCTGTATTTAAGAGTCTCTTATGTTTTTTTCCCTCTTTTTTCCCCCTCCCCTGTGTTCATCTGTTTTGTTTCTTAAGTTCCACCTATGAGTGAAATCATATGGTATTTGTCTTTCTGTGACTTATTTGCTTAGCATAATAACACTTTAGCTCCATCCATGTCGTTACAAATGGCAAGATATCCTTCCTTTTGATGGCCAGATAATATTCCATGGTGTGTGTGTGTGTGTGTATGTGTATGTGTATACACTGCCTCTTCTTTAGCCATTCGTCAGTGGACGTTTGGGCTCTTTCCATAGTTTGGCTATTGTTGATAATTCTAATAATGACTTTTATGGCTAACAATATTTAAAATTCTTCTAAGGACACAACAGTATTTCTAAATTCTAATTATTAATTTACTTGTAGGAAATGTGCACTGTTGAAGAACCTAATGAAGAGTTTACATCCAGACATAGTTTAGAATGGAAGTTCCTATTTCTAGATCACAGGTAATTTCATTTTTAAATCCCATAAAAAGCTAATTGTCATATAATTCTTGAAATTAATTGGTTTCAAGGATACACTTAATCAGATGTTCAAATCCATTATCCATTTTTCAAAAAGTAAAGATTTCCTCCCCAAACTGATTTCTAGTTGAAGTATTTCTTATTATGGAAAAAGTTATAATATCGATTGTGTTATATGTGATTTAGGGCACCACCTATAATAGGATATTTGCCATTTGAAGTTCTGGGAACATCAGGCTATGATTACTATCATGTGGATGACCTAGAAAACTTGGCAAAATGCCATGAGCACTGTAAGTAGATTTTAATATTTCTGGTGATAATAACTGCTTTTAGTCTAATAAATAACTAATGTATTAATAGAAGATGGTAAAATGCAGACTTGTAAACATTTTTGTATTTTTGAAAAATATTGGAAGATTTCACTTTATAACCCAATCCAATAGGAATCCTAGATCAAATTTAAATTAAACTTGTTGCTTCCTGTTTTACATATTTCAATCTATAATAGTAAGTACAGGTTTATAATATGGCATCTAATAAGCCTTGTTTTTGAAGTGTTTAAATTCTACATCTAGAGTAAAATTGGGATGGTATGTCAAAATATTAGAACACTGTTTCATATATTTTTATTTCAGGCATATAGGTCTGCCTAGGAATTAGGTACACATTTAAAGAAACTTTTAGAAAGCCCATAGTGAGTGCTTAATGTTTCCTGCCATTATGCTTATTAGCAGCAGGGACATTAACATCTTGTTGTACCTGGCTGGCACTATTCTAAACAGTTTATGTACATTATCTCCATTATTCATCAACACAGGTCTAGAAAGTAGACACTGTTATTGTCTCCATGAGTAAATTGAGACACAGGAAGGCTAAATAATTTACAATCCCACAATTCACTGGTGGCAGAGAAAGGTTTAGAGTCTAGACCTACTACCTCTTTACCACATGCTATTCTTTGTTTCAGAAGTTTAATGGTAAGTTTTATTTGCTTCTCTGATTCTCCTCCCCAAATCCTACCTCTTGGAGTGTCCTCTATAGCTTAATTAGATATTCAGTATTCTTTCATGATGTCTTAGGCTGGTCTAGTAGGCCTCTATATGAAAATAAGGCATGTTATATAACAAAATCAACTAAATGGGAGATTTCAGAATAAAGTAATTTCAGCACAAAAAACCCATTGTGCACTCCAAGTGATAGGGGCAGTAGGCTCTATGATGTATTGAAAAGATCTGACACTTCTGCTGACTAGCTGGGTAATTTTGGACAAACAATTTAAAGTTTGTAGACTTCAGGGGCATCTGGGTGGCTCAGTCAGTCAAGTGTCTGACTTCGGCTCAGGTCATGATCTCGCGGTTTGTGGGTTTGAACCCCGCGTCGGGCTCTGTGCTGACAGCTTGGAGTCTGGAGCCTGCTTCAGACTCTTTGTCTCCCTCTCTCTCTGACCCTCCCCTGCTTGTGCTCTGTCACTCTCTGTCAAAAATAAGTAAATCTAAAAAAAAAAATGTTTTTTAATTTGTAGACCTCAGTTTCCTCATGGAGAGAGAAAGAGAGATTGATTCCTGATTGGCATTTCCTGAAGTTTGTTTCACTGAATGCTGATCCCTTAAAAATAGATTTTATGGTCAAGGAAGACTGGGAAGCACTTCATAATCAATCCCTACTACTTCCCCACCCCCAGAATCATGACATAAATTAGCATACTAGAAGTTTTGAAAAGAAAGACTAAATAAAACTATTTAACAACATTCCCCAAATTAACCACAAAATTCTTTTTTTGCTTAATATCTGTTAAAAAGCTTCAGAACTTACAACCTACAAAGAATGTTTTGGGAAATACTGTTGTCAGTTACTTGAAACAATTAAGTTATTCTGATTTTGGTTAAAGTTTTGAATTAAGTGCTTCAAAGATGCTGTACCTGCCAGGGTACCTGTACCTGTGCGAAAAAACTCAGATGTGATCACTTATTGCTCTTCAGTCTCTGTTGGTGGGAGGAAGTCAATATATGAACACTTTATTCTTAAATATTTGGAAATTTACTGTGTGTGAAAAGTATCTGAGATCAGTAGTAACTGACTCTAAGTGGGGCACTGTGGAAGATATGTTAATTGCTTGGGACATTAAGCTATCCCTGTAGAATAACATTTTCTTACAACTGATATTTATGTTACTGAAAAGCCATTGAATTGTGAATGTAGATTTAAATGTAAATGCTAGGTTTGGCTAAAAACCAGGTTGATAACTAATGATAATGAGTCAATATATTTTTCTTTTCTTCTTAGTAATGCAGTACGGGAAAGGCAAATCATGTTATTATAGATTCCTCACCAAGGGACAGCAGTGGATTTGGCTTCAGACTCATTATTATATCACTTATCATCAGTGGAATTCTAGGCCAGAATTTATTGTTTGTACTCACACCGTAGTAAGGTAATAATTCTTTTATAGAACTTATGAATTATAGAAACACTGATAGTGATGTTGGCAATGAAACTTTCAGGCATGACTTGTTAAGAGCTACAGTGATCTTTTTCCTAATTTTTGATACGTCTTTTTGTTAAAATTTTATTAAATTTACTTACAAGCATTAATTTTATTAAATTTACTTACTGGCATTATGTAGAAATAGAATACAGGTATATATGCATATGTAATTCTTAACATAAGTGTTACAATTTAAAGCAGAAATTTTAACTATCTTTTTTATACCAAAGTCAATCATGTAAAAGGAACACCGGAGTAGATCAGCATATCTTTCCTTTTTTTAATTCTTCTCAAGTACTGTGTAGTTAGAGATCATTTACAGTAGCATATAAAACTTCTGAGATAACTAGATTAAGATAGAAAACTATAGATGTGTTCTAGGATTGTGTAGTGCATAGCAAATAGGCTGGAATCCATGGTGAACAAGTAAGACCCGTAACAGTCAGTGCACTTCTGCAGTATTGTAAATGAGTGATTAAGAACTAAAATTCTATTTTTTCCATTTGTAGTTATGCAGAAGTTAGGGCTGAAAGACGACGAGAACTTGGCATTGAAGAGTCTCTTCCTGAGACAGCTGCTGACAAAGTATGTATCTTACAGTTTAAAAAAAATTATTTCTTCCTAATGAAAGGCAAGACTCAATAATTTATAGGAAAATTATTTTTCAAATATTTCATTTCCTCACTTGTGACAGAATTATAATTATATTTTACTTTTTATTTTAATTCTAACATTTTAAAACCTTATATACTTCTAAAAAACATTTGAAGGGCCTCCTATTTAGTGAGAGACATGTATGATTTCACATTTAAATTACCATTTACTAATTGCCTGCAATGTGCAAGGCTCTGGCCAGGTTCTTTATATGAATTTCCAAGTGTCACTTATTCCTCAGACATCCTTATCTCTTAGGTGATATTCCCTTCTTGAAAATGTTGAAACTTGAGGTTTTAGGGGGTCCCCTAAAGACATATGACTGGAAGTTATAGTCAGAATTTGAATTCTGGTTTTTCTTTTCTTTATGTCAGATATAAGTATAGTATACTAGTTACCTATTGCTATGTAATAAAAGTTAATGATGTAAAATAATACACATTTATTATCTCATAGTTTCTGTGGGTCAGAGATCTAGGCACTGTTTAGATGGGCCCTCTGCTTATAATTGGTCATTTGGCTGCAATCAAGGTGTCAGCCCAGGGTTTTCTCACAACGCTATAATCAACCTGTCAGTTGGGGCCACGGTCATCTCAAGGTTCAGCTGAGGCAGAATCTGTTTTCAGGCTCACTCAGTGGTTGTTGGAAGGATGTGGTTCCTCATGGGCGGTTGGACTGAGTGCCTTGGTTTGCTGGCTAATGGCCCGAGACCACCTTTAGTTCGTTTCTAGGTAGCCATTTTATCAAAGGAAGCATGTAAGAGATCCAGGGAGAGGGAACGACAGCAAGATGAGAGTCTTCTGTAACCTAATCACAGAAGTAATATCCCATCATTTTTGTCTATTCTATTAATTAGAAGTAAATCACTAGGTTCAGCCTGTACTAAAGGGAAGGGATTATACAAGGTGGTGAATACCAGGAGACAGGAATCAATGTGAGCTATGTCAGAAGTTCCCTACAACAGTTGTTTTTGACCTTTAGAAAATAGTGGAATGAAAAGAATCAAGAATAAAAAGTGAGTTAAATAAGCAGCATGCCAGGGTTGATATGGGGAGTATTATTCAGTTTTCAACAAACCTTATTAAGTACTTTCCATGTGCCAGAAAGTACTAGATAGGGGTCTAGATGCTCAGAATACAGCAGTGAATAACCCGGACAAGTTTTCTGCAATCATGGATCCCATGTGAAAGAGTTTTTTCAAAGAGGCTTTGTATGCTTAGAAGAAAAAGATCCAGTATATTTTATAAAACACATTTTCTGAGAAAAGTGCTTAAATCTAGGGTACCTTGAATTTATAGAAACTAAAAGTAATACAGAGATTGTTCCTCCTTGCTTCTTTTTCTCTCATGCCAGTGTCCAATCCTAGTAAATTCAACTAGCCCTACTTCCAAGTATACTTCACATATGTGTACTTTCCTACTGTATTTACTCTTAACCACCACAGTCCTCCTGGAGTTAGGAAAGAGGTCCACTTGACATAGATTTTTGAGAAACTTTAATGGGTAGATAGGTTTTAAGGTCATGAATCCAAATATGATCACCAGGTGAATGAATGGTGAGACACACACACACACACACACACACACACACACACACACACACACACACCCCAAGGGCTAAGCACTGGGGCATTCCATCATTAAGATATGAAAGAAACAAGGAAGAATCAGTCACAGAGGAGACTGAAGGGAAATATCCAGTCAGGTATGAATAAAACTGAGAAACTGAGTTTTCATAGAAGCCAAGAAAAAGTGTGCCCATGAGGAGTAAACAGCTTTGTCAGATTCACCTTAAATAGGTTAAATTAGGTGAGCACTGAGAAGTGTGCACTGAGTTTAACAACAAGTATTCATTGATCGATAAGAAAAGATTGGGTGGAATAGCAATATGAGTGAAAGCCTGATTAGAGTGGGCTTAAAAGAGAAATTCCTGGGACAGGGTAATTAGAGACAGTGAGTAGGGAAGGTTTTCCTACAAAAAGGAGAGGAGTGGAAGAGTATTAGGAAGAAATAGGCTTAAAAGAAGTTTTTGATGTTTAAGGTGGGAGAAATAATAGCATGTTCGTATACTGAGAAGAATGGTCTGATGGAGAGAGAATTACTGCTAGAGATAGAAAAAAAAATGCTAGAGCAAAGTTCTCGACCAGGGGAGAGAAGATGGGATCCAGGCCACAAGTAGACAGATTGGGCTTAGTGGAAAGATCATTTAATGATAGAGAGGTTTAGTAGACTGTGATCTTTAGGTCAAATCTCATTCTCTGCCTGGTTTGATAACACTCACAAGCTAAAAATATGGTTTCCACATGTTTCTCAGTGATTGAAAAAAAAATCAAAAGGAGAATGGTGTTTGTGACACATGAAAATTATATCATCAAATTCCACAGCTACACTCAATTGTGTATATATTGCCTATGTTTGCTTTTTTTTAATTAAAATTTTTTAATGTTTATTTATTTTTGAGAGAGAGTGTGAGTGGGGGAGAGGCAGAGAGAGAGGGAGATACAGGATGCGAAGCAGGCTTCAGGTTCCCAGCTGTCAGCGCAGAGCCGACACAGGGCCCAAACCATGAGATCATAACTTGAGCCGAAGTCAGATGCTTAACCGACTGAGTCACCCAGGCGCCCCTAATTTTTTTTTAATGTTAGTTTATTTTTGAGAGAGAGAGTGCACAAGCAAGCATGAGGGGGGAGGGGCAGAGAGAGAGGGAGATACAGAATCTGAAGCAGGCTCCAGGCTCTACACTGTCATTACAGAGCCCAACACGGGGCTTGAACTCAGCAACCATGACATCATGACCTGAGCTGAAGTCGGACGCTTAACCGACTGAGCCACCCAGGAGCCCCTGCCTATGGTTGCTTTTGTGCTGCAACAGCAAGTTGAGTAGTTGCAGCAGAAACTACGTGGCCCCCAAAGCCTATAATATTGACTCTCTGGCCCTCACAGAGAGCATTTGCTGATCCCTAATCTGTAGTGACATAAAGAAAGGCAGAGTATATGAGGACAGATGATGTTAGTTAGGTTGATATGATAATAGGAGCTTATAGCAATGTCCAACAGTGAAACAGGAAGCAGAATAACCAGCTAAGAGTGAGGTTAGGAGAAGAGTTGTTTGAAGTTTGAAAAGAGCCGAGCAAGTGTTAAGTTGCTTTCTAGGAGGGGCGCCTGGGTGGCTCAGCCGGTTAAACATCCAGTTTTGGCTTCATGATCTCAAGGTTCATGAGTTCGAGCCCCACATCAGGCTATGTGCTGACAGCGCAGAGCCTGGAGCCTGCTTTGGATTCTGTCTCCCTCTCTCTATCTATTCCTCCTCTACTTGTGTGTGCTGTCTTTCTCTCTCACCCTCTCAAAAATAAATAAACATTAAAAAAAATTTTTAATTGTTTTCTAGGAGAGTAGGAGAGTGAACAGATGTGGAATAGATTAAAAATTGGATTTAAACAGCATTGGGATTTTTCCAGGGGAGTGTGGTGGAGGGAGATAGGAGCAAGAGAGTTGATGATAACCTGTAAGGGTGTGGTTATGATGATTAACCATGAATTTATAAACTTGGTAAAGAGGGGAGAGAAGATACAAAATGAGAGAGTGTGAAAATGTGGTAGAATCAATGTATTTTATGTTCCACTAAAGGATTATTGGAGCTGGCATACTAAAGAGAATAAGAAATAGTGGTCTAACAGGAGGATCTTTGAAATTGAGGTTATGGAAAGTTTATTCTTTTTTTAAAAACTACTTATTTATGAGGTGCCTGGGTGGTTCAGTCGGATAAGCATCCAACTTCAGCTCAGGTCATGATCTCACGGTTTGTGAGTTCAAGCCCCACATTGGGCTCTGTGTTGACAGCTCAGAGCCTGGGGCCTGCTTTGGATTCGCGTGCGCGCGCTCTCTCTCTCTCTCTCTCTCTCTCTCTCTCTCTCTCAAGAATAAATAAACATTAAAAAAATTTTTTTAATATTTATTTTGAGAGATAATGCATGCAAGGGGTGGGGGAGGGGAGAGGGATAGAGAGAGAGAGAGGGAGGGAGGGGGGGAAGGAGGGAGGGAGAGAATCCCAAGCAGGCTCCATACTGCAAGCCCGCAGGGGCTTGATCCCACGAACTGTGAAATCATGACCTGAGTGGAAATCAAGAGTCAGATGCTTAACCGACTGAGCCACCCAGGAGCCCTATAAGGTTAATCTTATTGGTAATGATAAGGTCTAAGATATGACCATAAGAATGAGTGACTGAGGACAGGTGGAAATCAAGATCTTTGTGGGAGAAGACATCAAGGAAGAGCGAAAACATGATGATGAACATGTGAATTGATACTGATGTTGATAACCGTGGATTTAAGAATAAGTTGATGGTAGACTTAGCCAGGAGCAGAAATTTTAATACAGGTACTTAGTGAGGAGTGACCATAAGGGTCAGTAGATAACTGTTCCAATGAGAGATAGTCATATAATGATAATATGAGATTCTGGCTGTGAGTGTTGGAAAAGGAGGAAAGGGGAAAATTGTGGAAAGAGGAGGAGGAGGAGGACTTCTCTACCCCTCCAGAGCAGCGATCTGAAGGTTGTGAAAGAGAAAATAGCCACCACTTAAAAGTCCTGCAAGGAAGTGGTGTTTTCTATAGACAGCTAGCTTTTAGTTAGAGCAAGCCAAGCAAATGGATATTCAAAGATGAGGTTGAGAATACAGGAGATTTTGATAATGGTGGGTAATATTCCATTGTATGTATACAACACATTTTGTTTATCCATTCATCTAGCAATGGACACTTGGGTTGCATCCATCTTTTGGCTATTGTGAATCATGCTGCTATGAACATGGGTGTACAAATACCTGTTTGAGTTACTCTGTTCAATTTTTTTGAGTATATACCTAGAAATGGAACTACTGGATCATGTAGTAATTACTTAATTTTCTGAGGAACCGTCATACTGTTTCCTGTAGTAGCTTCACTATTTTAAATTTTCACCAGCAGTGTACAAAGGTTCCAATTTATCCTCGTCAGCACTGGTGATTTTCTGTTTTGTTTTTGTTTTAAATAATAGTCCTCATGGGTGTGAAGTGGTATCTCATGGCTTTAATTTGCATTTCCCTAATGGTTAGTGACAACTCTTTTTTGCAAAAAGAGCAACTTTTCTTTTTATTAAAAAAAATTTTTTTTTTTTTTAACATTTATTTATTTTTGAGACAGAGCATGAACAGGGGAAGGTCAGAGAAAGAGGGAGACACAGAATCTGAAACAGGCTCCAGGCTCTGAGCTGTCAGCACAGAGCCTGACGCGGAGCTCGAACCCACGGACCGTGAGATCATGACCTGAGCCGAAGTCGGACGCTTAACCGACTGAGCCACCCAGGCGCCCCGCAACTTTTCTTTTTAATTAATTTATTTTGAAAGAGGGAGAGAGAGTGCATGCACAAGTGGGGGAGGGACAGAGAGAGAGGGAGAGTGAAGGCTGGGCAGAGCCCGACGTGGGGCTCAATCTTAGGAACTGAGATCGTGACCTGAGCTGAAATCAAGAGTCAGATGCTTAGCCGACTGAGCCATCAGGTGCCCTGGGCATTTTTTCAATGTGTTCACTGGCCATTTGTATATCTTCTTTGGAGAAATATATATGTAAGACCTATGTTTTTTAATTGCATTGTTTGGGGGGAGGTTTGCTATTCAGTTGTAGGATTCTTTTATATTTTCTGGATGTTAATTCCTTATCAGATACAGGTTTGTGAATGTTTTCTCCCCTCCCATGGGCTGCCTATCCACTGTGTTTGTAGTGTCCTTTGATGCACTTTTGTTGCTTGTGCTTTTAGTGTCACATCCAAGAAGTCGTTACCCAGTCCACTGTCATAAAGGCTTTTCTCCTTTTTTTCTAAAAGTTTTATAGTTTTAGCTCTTATGTTTAGGTCTTTGATCCATGACAGTTAATTTTTGTGTATGGTAGAAATTAACAAAGAGTTTAATCATTCTGTTGCATCTGTTGCTATAAATAAAGAATGAAGTAAAAAATTTCTGACTGTAGAACAGCAATTTTTATTTCTTTACCTAATATTGCAGAGGTAAATATTACACAGGTACCTTTGCCTTGTTGTGGGTGAAAACTGATTTGGAGAAGGAAAAGTAGCCAGTTATATTGCTAACTTTGGATAACTGAACTACAAGAAAACATTTATTTTACTGTCTCCTTAGAGCCAAGATTCTGGGTCTGATAATCGTATAAACACAGTCAGTCTCAAAGAAGCCTTGGAAAGGTTTGATCACAGCCCAACTCCTTCTGCTTCCTCCCGGAGTTCAAGAAAATCATCTCACACAGCAGTCTCAGACCCTTCCTGTGAGTACGCTAGCTTGAAAGCAGACTTTCTTTCAAGAGAGTGCTTCTAAATTGTTATTGGTGTCAGCATTTTTCATCAAATGCTACTTTAGTATTATTTTTACATGAAAAAGTTTACTGTAGTATTGTTTGTTAAAAAGCTAGAAACACTCTTTTTAAGTTTATTTTTTTAATTCAAGTATAATTAACATGTTATATTAGCTTCAAGTGTTCAATATAATGTTTTAACAATTCTATACATTATTTAGTGCTCATCATAGTAAGTATACTCTGAATCCCCTTTGCCAATTTAAGAAACAAAAGAAATGAATAAAGAAAAAGGCAAACAAAAAACCAGACTCTTAAATATAGAGAACAGACTGGTTGGTTTCCAGAGGGAAGGCAGGAAGGAAGATGGATAAAATGCTACTTAAAAATGATTAGTTTTACATTTCTGAACTCTGTTAACTTTTCCAGTGAGCAAGAGGCACACTGCTCACATTTAACAAAGAATTATTTATAAAATAGCCTGTAAAATATTTAGGTAGTAGTGTTGGTATTGTTATGTTGCTTTTAATCATCCCTCAAAAAATAAAGCAAAACTGTTTATTCCTTTTTTACTGGTAGAACCTGTCAGTGTTCTTTAAGTTTGCTTTTTGAGAGTTTTTTTTAGCTCTTGTTTTAAATGAAGACTTGCATAGTTATCATTGAATTAGTAACCTTTTTCTTTTTGTTTAAAGAGTTAAGCCCTTTCATTTCCCAGGGTATTAAAACTATATATTATAAGGAAAAGGAGGTTGTTGGAACCACTTAACACCATGGGTAGAACATTAAAGAGGTTAAACATAGAATTTCTGAAACCTTAGGAAAAAAAATTTCTCCTTTGTAGCTGTTTTTCTCATTTTATAAAAGAGAAATTATACTTTTATGTTATGCTTTTAATGGAGGGAGGTACAAAATGCAAATCAGTGTAAATCAGTACATACTCATTAACATAGTGATGAATGTAAATTAGGAATGCATTGCTAAACCTCAAAAACGTTTCTTGCAACCTAAAGTAAACCTTTAGTTTACTGCAGTAAGAATATGTAAAATGAGATCTACCTTCTTAAATGCTTAACCATACAATACACTATTGTTGACTATAAGTACAATGTAGTGCAGACCTCTAGAGCTTATTCATTGTAGTAAATGGAGATGTTATTGATTAGTAACTCCATATTTGCTTCAATGCCCCCAGCCCTTGGCAAGCACCGTTCTAGTCTTTGATTCAATGAATTTGCCTATTTTAGATACCTCATATGATGGAGTCATGCAATACTTGTTTTTACATCATTGGCTTATTTCACTTAGCATAACATCCTCAAGATTCACCCATGTTGTATATCTTGAAATTTTCCATTCTTTTTTAAGGTTGAATAGTATTCCATTGTATGTATATTACCACATGCTGTTTTTTCCATTCACCTGTCAGACATTTAGATTGTTTCCACATCTTGGCTATTGTGAATGGTGCTGCAGTGAGCATAGGAGTGCAAATATCTCTTTGAGATTCTGATTTCAGTTCTTTTGGATAAATACCCAGAGGTGGAATTGCTGGATCACATTTGGTAGTTCTATTTTTAATTTTTGGAGAAACCTCCATTACTGTTTCCCACAGTGGCTGCAGCATTTCACATCCCCACCAATTTTAAGTGTACAAGGGTTCTAATTTCTCCACATTCTGGGCAGCACTTTTTTGAATGAGTGGTATCTCATTGTGGTTTTGATTTGCATTTTCCTGACGAGTGATGTTGACCATTTTTTCATATGCTGGTTGGCCATTTGTAGATCTTCCTTGGAGAAATGTCTATATTCAAGTCCTTAAGCCATTTTGTATTGAGTTATTGGAGTAGTAACCATTTTTAAATTCAAAGTTTTCCTGTCTCAAATATTTATTTTGTCCTTAAGAAAAAAGTAATTCAAATGAGCCATCTTATTGTCATAGACTTCACTTTAATTAAATAATTTAGAAAAATAACTTAAAGATCATTTTTATTCACTGAAATCCATTTTGAGATTAATCTTTGGAAATTTTATTTTATAAAGTACTAACACTGTTTTGTTTTTGTTGACTGACATCAGCAACACCAACAAAGATCCCAACAGATACTAGCACTCCTCCCAGACCGCATTTACCAGCTCATGAAAAGATGGCACCAAGGAGGTCATCATTTAGTAGTCAGGTAACTCTTCAGTATTCTTCTGAATACAGAGTTATTAAAAGGGAAAAAAAATCATCCAAATCCTTAAAATTCATTAATTTGTTATCCCTTTCTATAAAGACCAACACAGCTGTTGATAAATAACACTCGAGATCTTTCCTTTTTGTGAAGTAGTTCTCAAACATATGCTTTTGATTATTTTACAGGTAAAACATTAGATATTTATTTTAATAAAAGTTAATTGGGGCACCTGGGTGGTTCAGTTATTTGAGTGTCCAACTCTTGATTTTGGCTCAGCTCGTGATCTCACGGTTGGTGAGATCGAGCCCCTCTGCGCTGTCAACACAGATCCTGCTTGGGATTCTCTCTCTTTCTCTTCTTCCCACCAAAGTTAAATAAAAAATAAGAAAAATTAATAATTTAGAGCCATTTTATATTTAATTTCTAATACCACTTTTAGTTCTGTCTTTTTAACTTTTACTGAGAGCCCATGCAAGGTAATGTGGCAGATGCCTTACAAGATACAAGGATAAATAAGGAATAGATAGACATGTCCAGTGTAGAGGGGGAAACATGCATGCCAGCACTCAACTAAAAATGCATGAGGCAAAGTGTAATTCTCTTATAAAGATACCATTTCTGGTGAAATGGTATTTCTGGTGAAACTACTTATGGATGGGTATAATTGTCACTCATTATTTTTTATTTTGCTCCTAGTCCATAAATTCCCAGTCTGTTGGTCAGTCATTAACACAACCAGTGATGTCTCAAGCTGCAAATTTACCAATTCCACAAGGCATGTCCCAGGTATTTTTTGTTTGTTTGTTTGTTTGTTTGAAACAGTTGAGTATTTTAAAATGATAAATGGTTTTTAAGGTAATAGAGATTTTTAAAAATACATACTTTTAGTGCAATGAATTCCATGTGTGGCCATTTACAATGTCTGGGGGATATTTTTGATTGTCAGTGATTATTGGGTACCACTGGCCCTTCACAGGCAAGGACCAGGGATGCTATTTGTCTTGAAAGATGCATGACAGGGGCGCCTGGGTGGCTCAGTCGGTTAAGCATCCGACTTCGGCTCAGGTCATGATCTCGCGGTCTGTGGGTTCAGGCCCCGTGTTGGGCTCTGTGCTGACTGCTCAGAGCCTGGAGCCTGTTTCGGATTCTGTGTCTCCCTCTCTCTCTGACCCTCCCCCGTTCATGCTCTGTCTCTCTCTGTCTCAAAAATAAATAAACATTAAAAAAAAAAATTTAAAAAAAAAGATGCATAGCAGTTTTGTACAACAAAGAATTATCCTGCCTAATATGCTATAATACTCCACTGAGAGACACTACAGATAGAAATAGAAGGATATTAAAGATGAAATATAGCTGTTCATTTTGTTCTTCCTATGGATAGTGGGAGAATTAAGTAATTTTATTCATCTATTCATTCATACACAGGGCATTTATTGAGTTCTTGAGATATTGCAGGTGCTCGCAATATTAATATATGTACTGTAAGATTTTATTACATCTAGAAGGAATGACAGATAACTACAGTGCAATATTGTATAGTCTGTGCCCAAGGTATATAGGCTGATATATGAGCACATTAGATGGACCCCTAATGCAGCCTGAGGAAGTGAATGAAAACTTTCTGGAAGAATTGTTGCTTGGGCTCAGTCCTGAAGGAGACCTACATACAGAAATTAGCAAGGAGACAAAAGAATAGGTATTATAAAATTGACACTAAATTACTTTTGATTAGAAATTCCTAACTTGTAATTTATGACTCTCTATTCATTCAGTGCTTCAAACACATTAAAAATACTAGATAGTGGTAAAAATAATCCAAACTGTTTTGTTTGGTGTTAAATATACCTTGACTTAACAGTATTTCAAATAATGATAGTTAAGAATAGGTAAAAAACATTTTTCTAAAAATACCTTTATCTTACATGGTTTTTATCTAAATTATACTATATATAATTTTAGCCATTATATGACACCTGTACAAGTATATTGACAATGTTGTAAATTATCTAAACACCATAACCTTGACTTCCTGTAACATAATTATATAAGGTGCTTAAATATTATCTGTAGTTACAGTAGTTTTCATCATCGAGTCCTCAGTGTTTTTTATTCTGAAGGTTAACAGATTTTTTATGTAAATATTTAGGCATACTTTCAATATTATTAGTTCACTAATCTCAAGATACTGGATGACTATTTCTTAACATTTTAAAGGGATATTTTCATGAAATTTAATAATACCTGCTATGTTATGAAAAATGTTCATAACTATCCAGACCTCATATTTTGTTGAGTGATAAAGCCACTTTGCCTCTTAGTTCTGAGATTTTTTTTCCTGTTATTCTGCCTTCTGTTTATATCTTATTGGCATTTAATAGAAATCCTTTAAGTAATGTCAATGTAAAGTTTATTCAAAGGTATAAATAACTTTTGTTAGGATAAAATATATTTGTATGACATAAATACAACGTTTTGAATAATATTTTTAAGAGGCAGAGCTCAAGTACAAATTTGTAATGTTTTCTCATACCTAGTGTAATCTAATGTAAGATATGATTATTGTCAACTTTAGAAGTCTGAGTTGTATACGTTTTGAAAAGTAGTATTCAGTATCAGTACAATCTTTTGAAGATAAAAAAAGCTTTTGGGAGAGCATTTCTCACTTTTAGATGCAGTTCACTATGGGAGGCTATTTTAAGATTAAGGCACATTTCCAATAAATTGAAATTCTTTTTGGTATACTATATCCTGTGCTAAATATTCATAGAAATAGTTAAATGAGCCTATATAGACTTAAGTGATGAATCACTAAGTGTGGCTAAATGTCAAGCAGTAGTAAATAAAAGCTGCTTATGACTCAAGTAAAACATAGTGAAATAAGATTGAAACTCCTGGAAGTAGAATAACTGTGTTTTCATTCATGTCTGCACTTATTCATTCATAATTGCTTAGTCTTTAAAAGCCTACATTTTGTACTTGTCTGAGAACAGTTTCAGTTGAAAATGTGAGGGGCGCCTGGGTGGCTCAGTTGGTTAAGTGTCCGACTTCAGCTCAGGTCATAATCTTGTGGTTTGTGAGTTTGAACCCTGTGTCAGGCTCTTTGCTGACAGCTTGGAGCCTGGAGCCTGCTTTCAGATTCTGTGTTTCCCTCTCTCTCTGCCCCTCCCCTGCTCACACTCTGTGTCTGTCTCAAAAATAAAGAAACATTTAAAAAAATTTTTGAGAAAAAGGAAATAGTAAAAATATGGTTAGTTATCTGTTTAGATTTTTATAACCTTCAAGTGTGTACAAAGAGGACATTGTAGGGATGACAGAATTTGATATGAGTAACTCTAAGAACCGGCTACTTTTTCATTTGTTAAATGGTAGAGATTAAGAAACTTGTTCTAGGAAATGGTAGAGAGAGCCACAATATGATCTCTGGTCTTCTAATGCCAGTGTATACTCATAATCAGTCAAGATCTGGTCAGAAGTCAGAAGCCATACCGGAAATTTGAATAGGGCTAATATAAAAAAATATATTAACTGGTAACGGAATTCTAAAGAATACAGGCATAATGGATGTAGGAGGCAGCCACTAACCTCAAGTGAAAAGGAGAGTACAGTATGCAAAGAAGGAACAACTTGGAAAACTCTCCCAACCTCCTAAACTTCTTCCTCCAGGCTAGGCTGAAACTCAGTTCCCATTGGGGTTGGTGTGGCTGTAGCCACTGGATGAGAGGGAGGTTCACTGAGGTGCCAGAGACCAGGGCTGGAGGGCAGGAAGCCACCTGCTGGGGTAACAGCAAAATTTGTTGGGGAGCTTCCCATAAGGATGCCAGTGGGACTTGCCGGAAAGCCACCTCCCTTTGCAGTATCCCTCTAGCTCCATCTACTGACATGACTAAGTTTGTGTCCACTGACAAAGGAAGATGTTTATAAGGTCCAGCTCCAGTAGCACAAAGCTAAGCAAAGGTGGGTGAATTAGGAGCCAAGAGGCAATACGTTAGTAATTGGTATAACATTTTTAACTCATGATATATACTGTTTATTTTTCACATTGCACAATTATGAAGAATAAGTGATTCTAAAATATGTTACACTTTTTCCAAACATGGGACTTCAGTTTCAGTTTTCAGCTCAGTTAGGAGCCATGCAGCATCTAAAAGACCAATTAGAGCAACGGACACGGATGATAGAGGCAAACATTCATCGGCAACAAGAAGAACTAAGAAAAATTCAAGAACAACTTCAAATGGTCCATGGTCAAGGGCTGCAGGTAAGTTATTATATTTGAATACAACAAAGCATGCCATTCACATTTTGGTTTCTTAATAAAATTGACTTTTCTTACTTAAAAATGAGATGCAAGAAATACATTTCATCAATTTGGTTCAGTAAATACTCATTGGTTACCTACTCAATATGATTGAATTTATAGTCTGATTCATTCCTAAGAATATTTCCATCAACATCCTTGTTTCTCCAGATTAGATTCATCTTGTATAGTCTTTATTTTTAGTAAGCTTATACCCATAATATGAAAATAATATTTTATATAGACTTTTAGGTACATGTTGGTACAGAATTTAGAAATCAATCATCAGTCATTGTTTTAGTGAAATATCAGTAGGTATGATTCAAATTAGTCTTATTTGGTCAATCTACTGACCCACTAAAGTTACATCTGTCAGACTAGTATTTTGGAGAAGGGAAACTTCAAGTGAAAACTACTTCTGTCTCATGCCATAAATTATGAATGATAGGTGATGAAGAACCAGCAGGTCACAGGCCCTTTTTTTTTTTTTCAAATATAATTTATTGTCCAATTGGCTAATATACAGGGTGTAAAGTGTGCTCTTCGTTTTTGGGGTAGATTCCCATGGTTCATCACTTACATATAACACCCGGTGCTCCTCCCAACAAGTGCCCTCCTCAATGCCCTTTACCCATTTTCCCCTCTCCCCCACCGTCCATCAACCCTCAGATTGTTCTCTGTATTTGTTTCCTATTGTTTGCCTTCTTCCCTTTCTTTTTGTAACTTTTTTTCCCCCTTCCCTTCCCCCATGGTCTTCTGTTAAGTTTCTCAAGATCCACATTTGAGTGAAAACATGATATCTTTCTCTGACTGACTTATTTCACTCAGCATATACCTTCCAGTTCTATCCATGTTGCTGCAAGTGGCATGATTTCATTCTTTCTCATTGTCAGGTAGTATTCCATTGTACATATAAACCACATCTTCTATATCCATTCATCAGTTGATGGACATTTAGGCTCTTTCCATAATTTGGCTATTGTTGAAAGCATTGCTATAAACGTTGGGGTACACGTGCCCCTATGAATCAGCATTCCTATATCTTTTGAATAAATTCCTAGTAGTGCTATTGCTGGGTTGTAGGATAGGAACCTCCACAGTTTTCCAGTTTGCATTCCCACCAACAGTACACGAGGGTTCCCTTTTCTCCACATCCTTGCCAGTATCTGTAGTTTCCTGAGTTGTTGATTTTAGCCACTCTGACCGGTGTGAGGTGGTATCTCAGTGTGGTTTTGGTTTGTAGTTCCCTGATGATGAGTGACGTTGAGCATCTTTTCATATGTCTGGTGGCCATCTGGATGTCTTCTTTGGAAAAGTGTCTATTCATGTCTTCTGCCCATTTCTTCACTGGTTTATTTGTTTTTCGGGTGTGGAGTTTAGTAAGTGTTTTGGTAGATTTTGGGTATTAACCCTGTATCCAATACATCATTTGCAAATATCTTTCCCCATTCTGTCGGTTGCCTTTTAGTTTTGTTGATTGTTTCCTTTGCAGTGCAGAAGCTTTTTATCTTGATGAAGTCTCAATAGTTCATTTTTGCTTTTATTTCCCTTGCCTCTGGAGACTTATTGAATAAGAAGTTGCGGCTGAGGTCAAAGAGATTGTTGCCTGCTTTCTCCTCTAAGGTTTTGATGGTTTCCTGTCTCACATTGAGGTCTTTCATCCATTTTGAATTTATTTTTGTGTATTCTGTAAGAAAGCGGTCTAGTTTCATCTGCATGTTGTTGTCCGGTTCTCCCAGCACCATTTGCTAAAGAGACTATCTTTTTTCCACTGGATACTCTTTCCTGCTTTGTCAAAAATTAGTTGGCCATACATTTGTGGGTCCAATTCTGGGTTCTCTATTCTATTGCATTGGTCTATGTGTCTGTTTTTGTGCCAATGACTATACTGTCTTGATGATTACAGTTTTGTAGTAGAGGCTAAAGTCTGGGTTTGTGATGCCTCCAGCTCTGGTTTTCCTTTTCAACATTACTTTGGCTATTTGGTGTCTTTTGTGCTTCCATACAAATTTTAGGATTGTTTGTTCTAGCTTTGAGAAGAATGCCAGTGCAATTTTGATTGGGATTGCATTTGATTGTAGATTGCTTTGGGTAGTATTGACATTTTAACAATATTTATTCTTCTAATCCATGAGCATGGGATGTTTTTCCATTTCTTTGTGTCTTCAGTTTCCTTCGTAAGTTTTCTATAGTTTTCAGCATACAGATCCTTTACATCTTTGGTTAGGTTTATCCTAGGTATTTTATGGTTCTTGGTGCAATTATATATGGGATCGATTTCTTGATTTTCTGTTGCTTTGTTATTGGTGTATAGAAATGCAGCCAATTTCTGTACATCGATTTTTGTACCCTGTAACTTTGCTGAATTCATGAATCAGTTCTAGCAGCCTTTTGGTGGAGTCTTTCAGGTTTTCCATGTAGAGTATCATGTCATCTGCCAAAAGCAAAAGCTTGACTACTTCTTTGTCAATTTGGATGCCTTTTATTTCGTTTTGTCGTCTGATTGTTTGTGCTAGGACTTCTAACACTATGTTAAGCAACAGTGGTGAGAGTGGACATCCTTGTCGTGTTCCTGATCTCAGGGAGAAAGCTCTCAGTTTTTCCCCATTGAGAATGATATTAGCTGTGGGCCTTCATCTATGGCTTTTATGATAAGGTATGTTCCTTCTAACCTTTCTTGAAGGTTTTTATTAAGAAAGGAGACTGTATTTTGTCAAATGCTTTTTCTGCATCTGTTGACAGATCATATGGTTCTTGTCCTTTATTAATGTGATACATGGCATTGATTGATTTGTGAATATTGAGCCAGCCCTGCAGTCCAGGAATGAATCCCACTTGATCATGGTAAATAATTCTTGTTATGTGCTGTTGAGTTCAATTTGCTAGTATCTTGTTTAGGATTTTTGCACCCATGTTCATCAGAGATACTGGCCTGTAATTCTCCTTTTTTGTGGGGTCTCTGCCTGGTTTGGGAATCAAGATAATGTTGGCTTCCTAGAATGAATCCAGAAGTTTCCTTCCATTTCTATATTTAGGAACAGCTTGAGGATAGGTATTAACTCTGCTTTTAAGTGTCTGGTAGAATTCCCCTGGGAAGCCAACTGGCCCAGGACTCTTAATTAATGTGAGATTTTTAATAACTGATTCAATTTCTTCACTACTTATGGGTCTGTTCAAATTTTTTATTTCTTCTCATTTGAGTTTTGGTACTATGTGAGTGAGTGTCTAGGAATTTATCCATTTCTTCCAGATTATCCAGTTTGTTGGCATATAATTTTTCATAGTATTCTCTAATAATTGTTTGTATGTCTGTGGTGTTGGTTGTGATCTCTCCTCTTTCATTTGTGATTTTATCTGTTTGGGTCCTCTCTCTTCTTTTTGAGAAGTCTGGCTAGGGATGTATCAATTTCGTTTAAAACCAACTCAGTTACATTGATCCGTTCTGCTGGGTTTTTTGTATTCTGTATTGTTTATTTCTGCTCTGATCTTTGTTATTTCTCTTCTTCTGGTGGCCTTGGGGTTTCTTTGTTGTTCTGCTTCTAGTTCCTTTAGGTATGCTGTTAGATTTTGTATTTGGGATTTTTCTTGTTTCTTGAGATAGACCTGGATTGCAATGTATTTTCCTTTTAGGACTACCTTTGCTGTATCCCAAAGGGTTTGGACTGTTGTGTTTTCATTTTCATTTGTTTTCCATATATTTTTAAATTTCTTCTTTAGTTACCTGGTTGACCCATTCATTCTTTAGTAGGATGTTCTTTAACCTCCATACATTTGGAGGTTTTCCAAACTTTTTCCTGTGGTTGGTTTCAAGTTTCATAGCATTGTGATCTGAAAATGTGCATGGTATTAACTCAATTCTTTTATATTTATCAAGAGCTGTTTTGTGACCCAGTAAGTGATCTGTTTTGAGAATGTTCTGTGTGCACTTGTGAAGAATGTATATTCTGCTGTTTTAGGATGAAAAGTTCTGAATATATCTGTCAAGTCCATCTGGTCCATTGTATCATTAAGGGCCATTGTTTCTGTTGATTTTCTGTCTGGGTGATCTGTCCATTGTTGTAAGTGGAGTATTAAAGTCCCCTGCAATTAGCACATTCTTACCAATAAGATTGCTTATGTTTGTGATTGATTGTTTTATATATTTGGGTGCTTCTGAATTCACTGCATAAGCGTTTATAATTATTAATTCTTCTTGAAGGGTAGACCTTGTAATTATACATAAGGCTCTTCTTCATCTCGTTACAGCCTTTAGTTGAAAATCTAATTTGTCCACTAGAAGTATGGCTACTCTAGCTTTCTTTTGACTTCCAGTAGCATGATAGATGGTTTTCCATCCCCTCACTTTCAATCTGAAGGTGTCCTCAGGTCTAAAATGGGTCTCTTGTAGACAGTAAATAGATGGATCTTGTTTTTTTATCCATTCTGATAACCTATGTCTTTTGATTAGAGCGTTTAGTCCATTAACATTCAGTGTTATTATTGAAAGATATGGATTAGACTCATTGTGTTAGCTGTAGGTTTCATGCTTGTAGTGATTTCTCTGGTCCTTTGTGGTCTTTGCAAAACATTGCACTCAGAGTCCCCCTTAGGATCTCTTGTAGGGCTGGTTTAGTGGTAATGAATTCCTTCAGTTTTTGTCTGGTAAAACCTTTATCTCTCCTGCTATTCTGAATGACAGGCTTGCTGGATAAAGGATTCTCGGCTGCATATTTTTCCTATTCGGCACATTGAACGTTTCCTGCCACTCCCCTCTGGCCTGCCAAGTTTCAGTAGATGGGTCTCCTACTACCCTTATGTGTCTACCCTTGTAGGTTAAGACCCATTTGTCCCTAGCTTCTTTCAGAAATCTCTCTTTATCTTTGTATTTAGCCACTTTCACTATGATATGTCATGCAGAAGATTGATTCAAGTTACATCTGAAGGGAGTTCTCTGTGCCTCCTGGATTTCAATGTCTGTTTCCTTCCCCAGATAGGGGAAGTTCTCAGCTGTGATTTGTTCAAGCACATCTTTGGCCCCTTTCTCTCTCTTCTTCTGGAACTCCCGTGGTACAAATATTGTTCCATTTCATTGAGTCACTTAGTTCTCTAATTCACTGCTTGTGGTCCAGAATTTTTTTCTTTCTCAGCTTCATCTTTTTCCACAATTTTATCTATTTCACCTATTCTCCCCTCTGCCTCTTCAATCCTTGCTGTTAGGCAATCCTTGCCTCTAGTTTATTTTGCACCTCATTTACAACATTTTTTAATTCATCATGACTGTTTTTTAGTCCCTTCATCTCTGCAGCAGTAGATTCTCTGCTGTGTTCTGTCTTCTGTGTGTTCTGTCTATGCTTTTTTCAAGCCCAGAGATGAATTTTATGACAATTATTCTAAATTCTTGTTTAGTTGTATCATTTATATCTGTTTTGGTCAATTCTTTAGCAGTCATTTCTTCCCGGAATTTCTTTTGAGGGGAATTCTTCCGTTTCATCATTTTGGCTAGTTTTCTGTCCCTGATGTGTTTTAAAACTTATGTGGCCTGCATCTGGGAGCACTACTATATTAAAGAGGGGTCATACACTATCCAGGGCCTGGCCCTTCAGGAGGTGTTTTTTCGAGTGTGTTAATTTGTTCTCTGTTGTTGTGATTCTGGTTGCTTTATCTCCCTACGTGTAGTCATGTTTTGGACCCTCCACTAGGTGTGCTTTGATTTGTTTGCTGAAGTAGCCCTGTGGCCCGCTAGGTGTCCCTGTGGGTCCCTGGAGACATCTTTGTCACTATGCAGCCCGGACTCTTGGAATTCAAAGTCTTTTGGCCTCAATACTGCTGTGTTTGAGGGATGAGGGAATTTCAGGTCCCCCTACTTCTCCACCATGTTGGATCTCTTCCAGTCCATAGGCCTTGAGTAGCACTGAGCTAGGGTAATGTCATCTGATGAAACAAATGGTCCCCAACATGTAAAGTGTTCAAACAAGTAGAGGTTTTGAAATTTATAACACTTTTTCTGACAATTGGAAACATGATAGATTTAGGATAATTGGAAGAATGAATATGAATTATGTTTTATTCTGTATTTATTGCTAATTCATTCAGAATGACTTAGACCATCCTGATATTTGCTTTTAAAACTTAATTTGTAGGAGTGCTTAGGTGGCTCAGTTGGTTAAGTGTCTGACTTTGGCTCAGGTCATGATCTCACGGTACAATGTGATCTTTATTTCTGAAGATGTTTTTACAGCAGTCAACCCCTGGTTTGAATTTTGGTTCTGTTCAACTTTCTTCTGGAAATTCATCTAACATCCAGCAACTTGCACCTATAAGTATGCAGGGCCAGGTCGTTCAAACCAACCAAATTCAGAGTGGAATGAATACTGGACACATTGGTACAACTCAGCATATGATACAACAGCAGACTTTACAAAGTACATCAAGTCAGGTAATGATATCAAGTATAGTGGGTTATGGAGTGCTCAGTGACTGAAATGTGTGCTATTGCTGAAACAAAAATGAAGCTCTATCTCGAATAATTCCATATTTTAACAGTAATAATTAGAAAGTTTAGGGGCTCCTGGCTGGTTCAGCCAGTAAGACCGTATTGTCTCATGATATCAGGGTTGTGAGTTCAAGCCTCACCTTGGGCTTGGAGTCTACTTTAAAAATAAATAAATAAAATAATAGGAAGTTTTATTTTTGAGGGTGATCATTAAAATATTTGGTACAAAATTGTTAAATTGTTGATGTTAAATGCTTTCAGTATTTTGACATTTAAAAATTTTATAGTTGGGGCACAGTGATAGTTTAATCAATATTCTAAGAAATTTCATATAAATTCCAGGAAATTTGATGCAGGTAATTGTTATACATCTGTGACTATAAATCCCAAGACTTCAAATGAAATCTATAAAGATCTAATGTCAGTCACTCACTTTGGGCATTTAACAGAAATTGCTCATCTATATTTTATTTCATCCCTGTTAAGATCATGCTCCTTTTCTAAAATCATACCTTGTATTCAAGCAAGGATTGAAGACTAATTCATTCTCAGTTACTATAAGTCTTTTTCCTTTGTATTAGATTTCTCCCAGAGTAACAAGTCCTGCCTCTTCTTTTCTTGCCAGCTGTTGTTAGAATGATGCTAATAGTGTATGTATATTTACTGAAAAAATGTTTTCATTTAATTTATCTGTAAAATCTTCTGTTTTCTAGCAGAGTCAACAAAATGTACTGAGTGGGCACAGTCAACAAACCTCGCTTCCTAGTCAGACACAGAGCACACTCACCACTCCGCTGTATAACACTATGGTGATCTCACAGCCGACAGCCGGAAGCATGGTCCAGATTCCATCTAGCATGCCACAGAACAGTACCCAGAGCACTGCTGTAACTACATTCACTCAGGACAGACAGATCAGGTAGTTGTCATATTTCATGAGTTTTTCCAAAGTTGTAAAAATTGATTAGTTAAAAAACAGTAATTTGATTTGAAAAAACAGTTTGTAGCTAACTCCCAGAGTTCTTGAATTTGAAATAAAAATGCAGAATATGTTCATTGTTTAAGGACTTTGTAATAAACGGACAACAAGTTTTGTTCTTGGTCCAGAAATGTTCTACCAAATATTATAGAATCCAGCATCTACGGCATACTGTTATATAAGATTTGTGGCAGGGTTTGTATCACTCTGAAACTTTCATCATTGTAGTACGAATGTTGAGTTTTCAGGCAGTAACAGTGGTTAGGGTGGATACTAGCATAAGTTGATATATGTCATGGAATAAAATTAATTTACCTTTCTTGAGTTTTTTGAGTACTGTACTAGGTGCTCAAAATACACTGTCTCATTTAACTCTTTTTTTTTTATTTAAATGTGTATTAGGGTCATTTATTTCCCAGATAAGAAAAAAGTGAGTTTATAGTAATTTGGTCAAAGGCTTATAGGTAGCAAAGGGGGTGATGAGCAGTTTCTGAATTTTAGCTTTGGTGTCTGATTTCAAAAGTACACTAAACATTTGTGGGTCATTCTAGAAAAATAGCCATTCATGACTTATTTTAGTGGGCAGTCCAAATAGCTGACTTAGAAACAAATATTTTGGGGGTACCTGGGTGGCTCAGTTGGGCATGCAACTCTTGATTTTGGCTCAGGTCATGATCCCAGGGTCTTGGGATTGAGCCCTGTGTCAGGCTCCACACTGAGCATGGATTAAGATTCTCCCTTTCCCCTCCCCCTCTCCCTAGCGTGCGCACTCTCGCTCACTCTCCCAAAAGAAACAACAACAGAAAACAAGTATTTTGAAGAAATATCATTATTTCATATATTGGGAAGCTATGTTTTAATGACTATAGGATCTCTATAGTCTTAAAACTTCTATTTAAAATATTTTTTATTTTTTACTTATTTTACTGTAATACAAGTAGGCTGCTGCTTTTATAATTTCATTGTTGTATCACACTGTGTTAATAGATTTTGTTAAAATCCAATAATTTCCAGAGAGTAAAGAAGATACAGGATCACAGAAACAGTGAGAGCGGGAGAAGTTGCTTCTCTTTGGAACTTAGTTCCTCAAGTTAAGTCCAACTTTTAGGTCTGATATTCTGAAAGGAGATGTTATGAATGTGCTCCATTGAAATCTAGAGGGTTCGTTTTAAAGCCTGAGGAAAATTTCATTAGTCAAGAACGCTGATGTGCATTTTGGAGGATACAGTTTAGCAACTACTTGTAGAACCTCTTTTTTTTTGAGGGGAAAATATATATTTCAGCGAACATTTGAGTGCCTACTAAAGTGAGTATGGCTGGTACATTCCTCATCTCAAGAATGATCAGACTAGGAAGCCATAAAAAGTTAAATCACTATTACTGTATGATAAATACTTCTGCTTAGGTCTTTAGAAAGAGGAAGTGAGCAGGTTTATAGATTGAGGCAAACAGGTGAAGAGAGGAGTGTGGTCAAGGCAAACTTCACAGAGGAGGTACTTGGCGTGAGTCTTAAAGAGCTTGGCTGTGGGTGTACATGTGATAGGAAGTCTCAGGAGGGTATTCTCAGCTCAGGGAACAATATATACAAAGCCACAGAAGTGATAGTTAAGCATAAGTAGATTGAAGAATGTCTTTTGGTGCCAGAGATGGATGAAGTATTCTCATCACATTTTATCAGTGAGCAGTTTGGGCAATTCAGATTTTAATTTCTTTTAAGATTTACAGAGAATCGAGGATTTAATACTTCTGTGCCTAAAACACTTCCAAATGTTACTTTTTCTTTGGGCATCATTCTTCATATGTAAATATACATATTTTTTGCATTGAATAATACATTTGGTCCTGAAGTATACATAAAATAGAGTGTTTTATTTTAAAGATATGGTATGGATTCAAAAATAGATTCTGGATGTTGTATGTAAGTGATGAATCACTGAATTTTACTCCTGAAACCAATTATTGCACTTCATGTTAACTAAAATTGAAATAAATTTAACAGAAAAGGAAACAAAAACAAAAAAATAGGTTTTGTCTTGTGGAGACCACATAAATAATAAAGTGCATTTGTACTAAGTTGGACACCGTTATGTACTTTCCTCAGTTTGTAAGTGCAGTTATGCTCCTTTCCCAGGAGAGGCTTAGCTCAGTTTTCTTGCTGTAGTGACCAATGTGAGCAGCTAACTTCATTTCACAGAAGAGGCAAATAGAAATAATGTTACTCCCCGAACAGGCACCAGGGTTTTTATTATTATTATTTTTAAAATAGAAGAAGGAAGGTGGGAAGGGAGTGAATGTTAGTGACTTCTAATATGGTAAGTACTATACTGCATTGATAAATGAATAAATTGATGGTACTTTTATTCACTGTTGGAATGTCATTTAATTTTCATTTATGTTTATAAGATACAATTTGCAGTGTAAATGTCTTCTGTAAACTAGGGAGATTTTTAGAAATCCCTTATGATAGCTTAGCTGTAAGTTTATCCATGGTTAGCAAAATAATGTGCATTTTGGAGGACACATATATCGGACTCGCAAGTACCTAGTAATTTTATAAAAAGAAAAGTATTTTTTAAACAGGTTTAAAACTTTTTTCATTGTCGTAAAATAATACATAAATATACATGTTAACTGTTTCAGCAGTTCATTGGGTACATGCATACTGTTGTGAACATCACTACCATCAGTCTCCAGAACTTTTTTCTTCTTCCCAAACTGAAACTCTGTACCCATTGAACAATAATTCCCCATTCCTTCTACCCTCTACCTTCTAGAAGCCACTCTCCTGCTTTCTAAGCACATAAGTCTATGAGTTTCACTACTCTAGATACCTCACACAAATGGGATCATACAGTGCATGTCTTTTGTGACTGGTTTATTTCACTTGACACAGTGTCCTCACGGTTTGTCTGTGTTGTGGTGTGTGGTAGAATTTTATTCTTTTTTCAGGCTAAGTAATATTCTGTTGTATGAATATACCACATTTTATTTGTTACCCATCGATGGATAGTTGGGTTGCATCCATCTTTTGGCTGTTTTGAATCATGCTGCTGTGAACAAATATTTGTGTACAAATATCTGAGATCCTGCTTTCAGTTCTTTCGAGCATATGCTCAGAAATGGAATTGCTGGATCATGTGGTGATTCTGTACTTAATTTTTTCAGCAATAGTCCATCTGTTTTCCATAGGAGCTGCACTATTTTACATTCCTCTCAGCAGTGCGTATCTCAGCTTCTCCATGTCTTCACCAACACTAGTTATTTTGTTTGTTTTATCATAGTCATCCTGGTGGAAGTGAAATGATTCACATTTCCCTTATGATTAGTGACATTGAGCATCTTTTCATTTGCTTACTGACCGTTTATTTCTTCTTTACAAAAACGTTTTTCAAGATACTTGCCCATTTTTTAATCAGATTGTTTGTTATAGGATTGCTTTATATATTCTAGTTATTACCCCTTATCAGATGATATGATTTGCAAATAATTTCTTCCACTCTGTTGGTTTCTCTTTCTCTGTGTTGATACTATAGTGTCCTTTGATGCACAGAAGTTTTTAATTTTAATATCCAGTTTATCTGTTTTTTTTCTTTTGTTGCCTGTGCTTTTGAGTGTCACATCTGAGAAATCATTGCCGAATCCAATGTCATGAAACTTTCCCCCTGTTTTCTTTCCTAAGAGTTTCATGCTTGTAGCCCTTATGTTTAGTGCTTTAATCCACTCTTGAGTTAATTTTGTATGTGGGGTAAGGTAAAGGCCCAGCTTTATTCTTTTGCACATGGATATCCAGAAACTTTGTATTTGTTTTGTGATCATTTCATTTTGCTTATACATTTTTGTTTTACTGGTGCCCCAGAAGGAATCTTTAAAAACATGAAACAAAATTGGAACGTACAGCTTTTAAAAATCTAAACTGGCAATATCACTGGGTATTAAAGAAGTATTCAACTCACTGCCTTTTATAACAAATACTTTATCTTTCTGACGTCCCTTCTTCTCTTTATTTCCTCTTAACAGATTTTCTCAAGGTCAGCAGCTTGTGACCAAATTAGTAACTGCTCCTGTAGCTTGTGGGGCGGTCATGGTACCCAGCACAATGCTCATGGGGCAGGTGGTGACTGCCTACCCTACGTTTGCTACCCAGCAACAGCAGCCACAGGCACTGCCAGCCACACAGCAGCAGAACTCCCAGGAACAGCCGCTTGCTTCAGTTCAGCAACCTTCTCAGGCTCCGCTGACCCAACCACCACAGCAGTTTTTACAGGTAATTTTGCCCATGGGAGCTCTCCCAAGCCCGTTTACTTTCACATAATGAAATTAGACATTAAGAGAAGTTTTGTAAATCATCCGAAAAATCCATACAAGCTTATTGTACAAGTTAAATCTCTGGAAGGACAGAAAGCTTGTCCAGCTAGCTATCATTTCTTCCCTTGTCTGGTCTCTGGAAGACTTCTAGCACTGCTGTGGACATGGCCAGTTCTCTGAACTACTGGATAGAAATAAGGAGCTACTTGCTGCCCACCTACACATCAAGCCACTTTATATAGAGTTCTGTCCGGCTAGAGTTTCTAGAATTCACCAGACACTTTTCTTTCTTCCTTCTAAGCAGCCCATCAGATTCTATGCTCTACTCTACAGGGCAGGCATGTCAACAGGGATTTAAAAAAAAAAAAAAGTTATAGGCATTATCTTGAATTATTATGTTGGATTAAATTTTATAATGATTTTTTGGTTATAAATTAATATCAGAGGAGAAATACTGTGGAGGGCTGTGTATGTCATAATTGAGAGCTTGGGCTCTAAAGTCAGGCTGCCCTGAGACTGAGTCACTGCTGTACCATATACTGTGTGACCTTTGGTAGGTTATTTACCAAAATTCATCTATAATATGGAGGTGCTAATAGTTGATATCTCATGGGTAAACAGTACATGTAAATCACTGAACATAGTTACAAGGCACATAACGAGCTGAAATTTATCAGCACTGTCTTGATTAATGTAGCAAACACTCAGATCAGCCAAAATGTAGACACATGTCTTCTCATGTATCTCAATAGATACCTGGATATATGCTTATCTAATGGATATGGAAGAAAGTTACGTAGGGTTAGCTGGGATTTCAGGATAAATTCCTGGACCTCGGTACTCTCAGTGGAGTGCACAGTAGCAGATTATGACATCTGGAAATCCAGCTTTTTCCCTTCTTGCCTAAGGGGAGCAATTCTGAATGTAGGCTAGCCTAGATTTGTGCTGGAGACCATTCCATGTAGGCCAGCCACATACATATCATATCATCAATTTTAGGGTTCCACAATATATGGTGTGATTAGAAGATTCAATATTGTATACTCAGGCATAAACACATTATTAATTTATCACCCGTGTTACGGTGCACATAGAGTTCTTAACCTGGTGATATGGAAAGCTAAAACTTAAGGTTAATTGCCTAAATGTCTGAGTCATACTGACAGTCCTGTAGATCTTAAAGCCCATACTGTAGCTGTTAATGACTAGGCTAGCTATTGTTATAAGTGAATTAATAACAACTTATAACAAGTTATAAACTATTATCTAGAGGAAATAATATTCAATGAGAATTGAGCAAAACCTTAAAAAAGGAGAGAACTTGCCTTAAGGTCCCAGTCTTCTAAATCTGTCAGGGAACAAGAGTTCTTAAAAGAACAAGCATTCTCTGACCTCAGCCGTAGCAACTTCTTACTAGACATGTCTCTGGAGGCAAGGGAAATAAAAGCAAAAATGAACTATGGGGACCTCATCAAGATAAAACCTTCTGCACACCGAAAGAAACCATCAACAAAACTAAAAGGCAACCAACAAAATGGGAGAAGGTATTGCAAATGATGTGTCAGATAAAGGGTTAGTATCCAGAATCTATAAAGAACTTCTCAAACTCAACACCCCCCCCCAAAAAAAAATAAGCCAGTGAAGAAATTAGCAGAAGACATGAGAATAGACACTTCTTCAAGATATCCATGTCACTAACAGACACATGAAAATCTGCTCAACATCACTCATCATAGAAATACAAATCAAAAACCATAATGAGATACCACCTCACACCTGTCAGAATGGCTAAAATTAACAACTCAGGAAACAACAGATGTTTGCAGGAATGCGGAGAAAGGGGTTCCTTTTTTACTGCTGGTGGGAATGCAAACTGGTGCAACCACTCTGGAAAACAGTATGGGGGTTCCTCAAAAAACTAAAAATAGAACTTCCCTATGACCCAGCAGTTGTACTACCAGGCATTTTTTCAATGGATACAGAAATGCTGATTCGAAGGGGCATGTGCACCCCAATGTTTATAGCAGCACTATCAACAATAGCCAAATTATGAAAAAAGCCCAAATGTCCATCGACTGACAAATGGATAAAGAAGATGTGGTATATATATAACTTACATACGATGGAATATTGCTCAGCGATGAAAAAGAATGAAGTCTTGCCATTTGCAACAACATGGGTAGAACTAGAGTATATTATGCTAAGCGAAATAAGTCAGAGAAAGACAAATACGATTTCACTCATCTGTGGAATTTAAGAAACCCACCAGATGAACATATGGGAAGGGAAGGAAAAATAGGATAAAAACAGAGAGGCAAACTATAAGAGACTCTTAAAGTACAGAAGACAAACTGAGGGTTGCTGGAAAGGAGGTAGGTTGGGGATGAGCATTAAGGAGGGCACTTGTTGGGATGAGCACTGGGTGTTATACGTAAGTTATGAATCACTGGGTTCTACTCCTGAAACCAATACTACACTGTATGTTAACTAATTTGAATTTAAATAAATACATTAAAAAAATAAAGTAAAAACACTTAAGACAAAAATACTAATTTGAAAGGATATGTGCACCCCTGTGTTTACTGCACTATCTACAATATCCAAATTATGGAAGCAACCCAACTGTCCACCAATAGATGAATGAATAAAGAAGATTGTGTGTGTGTGTGTGTGTGTACACTTGAATATTATTCAGCCATGAAAAAAATGAAATCTTGTGATTTGCAATACCATAGATGTAGCTAGAGAGTATAATGCTAAGTGAAACAAGTCAGACTGAGAAACGCAAATACCATATGATTTCAGTTGTATGTGGAATTTAAGAAACAAATGAGCAAATGAATAAAGAAAGAGGCAAACCAAGAAATAGACTTTTAACTATAGAGAACCAACTGATGGTTACCAGAGAGGAGGTGGTTGGGGGGAGGAAATAGGTGATGGGGGTTAAGGAGTGTGCACTTGTGATGAATACCAGGTGTTGTATGGAAGTGTTGAATCACTATTGCTAACCTAGTATTACACTCTGTGTTAACTATACTGGAATTAAAACAAATTAACCTGCCCCCCCCAAAAAAATAAATAAAAAGCATTCTCTTATCCCTCCCTTCTGAAAAAAGTATCCCAAAGACATGGGGCCCCTAAAGAAATAAGGTAGACAATACCCTTTAGAAATGCACTTCTATGTAGATAGTAAATACACAATTTGGCTTTTCTGATTATATAACACCTGGTTCCAAATACGCCTCTGTTGTAATCCTGTAAGACTCACAAATATCCTGAGCTCTTTATGTTACAAAAACTTTTTCTAAATAACAGAAAAAGAGGTTTTTCTAGGTCCTTGGCAAAGTGTAGGGTTCAAGGACCTGTCCTTGTGTGTGTGTGTGTGTGTGTGTGTGTGTGTGTGTGTGTGTGTGTGTATGCGTGTATGCGTGTGCACACACGTGTGTGCACAGGTGTCCTTTATAAACATTTGCAAAAATCTCCCATCGTATGTTTAGATTAGGAGCGCTGCATCAAGGTGTGTTGTCAGTAAGACTGAGAAAATTCATTTAAAACTTCACTTTCTTTGGGCTAATTTCCTTTGTATAACCAGAAATAGAAATCAGGTGAAAGAAAGAGGCTCACGGAGTTGAGACTTGCCCAGGGTTACACAGCTAATAAATAAATGGCAGAGCACAACTCAAATTGAAGGCTTCTGATTTCAGATCCTGTGCCCTCGTGTGATTGGTTGGTTTGTTTTTACAACCACACTGCTACATATAAGACTTAAGTGTCTAATTTTGCCTTCGTTTTTCTGGTACTTTTAAATAACACTAATGTTAATATTTAATCTTAATAAAAACCCAGTATGGAGGCACTGCGATTATCTTAATTTTGTAAATGAAGAAACCGAGTCCCAGAGAAGTAAATAGTTTGAACAAGTCACACAGTCTAGCAAGTGGGTTAGCCAGAGTTTGAACCCAGTGGCCCATGCTGTGGGCTACTGACGTGCCGCCATAACCAGCTGAACAGACTGCAGAGGCACTGTCTCTTTGACCCCAGAGTATATGTGTTTCGTATGTTCCTTCCTATGCTTACATTTTACTGTCTAAAATTGTGGTCTTTAGGATTTATAAAAGGAAAAAATATGTGTGGTTGGTCTCATGACATAGATTGCTTTCTCTACCATAAAATATCTAGCTCAGATTCCTTAAAGAAAGAAATTGTGTACTTTCAAAAGAAGGGAAAGCCTCATAAGCATTTTCCAAAATACTATTTTTAAATGAGAAAGTACAAATGATGTAGATTATGTGGAATTTAAGGATTCTGCTCCTATGTAGAGCAGAAAACTTGAGTAAATCTTGATGTAGACAGCATAACGAGGGTAAAGCAATGTTGCATAATTCATTTGTTTTCTAGACTTCAAGGTTGCTCCACGGGAATCCTTCGACTCAGCTTATCCTCTCTGCTGCATTTCCACTACAACAGAGCACTTTCCCTCAGTCACATCACCAGCAGCACCAGTCTCAGCAACAGCAGCAACTGAATCGGCACAGGACTGATAGTTTGACCGATCCTTCCAAGGTTCAACCACAGTAGCACACATCCCTCCTCTCTGATCTCAGGAGGAAGGGGTTGTCCTTAAGAGTTGCTCAGATGATCTGAGACTAGGAGGAGAAGGTCCAGCAGTTTCACAAGATGCAGTATTGAGTGTTCTAGTTTCTGGACTTAGTTAGCAGAGAAAGTGCTGCCTAGTGCTACAGATGTACATTAAATACCAGCCAGCAGGAGATGATCATGGGGCCATAGCCAATTCTGACAGTGTTTTACTCGCCCAGCTATTTTTCAAATGGAAAGATAGATTGCCAAATGTTAAGCTCAGCTATGAAACATGACCTCCGGTCAACCAGAAAGGCACTAACAATGTTAGTAACTTTTAGTGGTTCTGTGCCTGTTTTCAAGTGTTACAGAGGACACGCCACTGTCATGTCAGGGGTTTGCGTACAACGATGCCATGAAGACAGTCCGGTAGACCCAGTAGACCCCTTCCCCATCCCCTCTCCCTTTTCAGATAATGATTGAATAGTAATTTCAGAATGTCGTGTGGTTCAAATGCTCTATGTACAGATACTGTAAAAATATTATGTATATGGATAAAAGGAGAGAAAGCAAAACATTTTGTAAGCTGCATGAAAGCATTATCTCCTCTTAGGTATGAGTATATTTCCTTAGATTCTGACGCCATGTGCAAACTAGTACATCCTCTGTTTCCCCTCTTGTTTACAACACGGTAGTGTTCTCACTTTTCCGGGGCACAAGGCTTTTTGTTCATACTTTGGCTGTGATGTCACAGTTTGTTCAGTGAGGTATGATGTGCTGCTGGGAATGGATATTTTTTTCCAGGTTAAATTATTGAGACAACAGGATTTTCAAGTTACTCAGAAATATCCTTTATTTCATTATTTTTCATTTATGTTTGAAAATAGGATTTGCACTGCTTTATTTTAGATGGTTGGAAGTTTTGGTCACATATTTTGATATATAGTTCATAGTTGGAAATAGTTGTGTAAACGGTTTTCAATAAGCCTGGAAGTAATTTCAAGAATGTTTCAGTTATAGGAGTAAAATTTGCACACAAAAGATTTTAGGCACTTTTTAACATTCTCACTGGTGGGAATTTTAACTTTTAGGATTTGTTGGAATCTTTTTATTATCCTTCACAATTTCAATGCTTCTTTTAGTCAGAAATGATTCAGGGTTATTTGAGGGGAAAAAAAAAACCCATAGTGCCTTGATTTTGATTCAGGTGATAACTCACCATCTTGAATTCATTGTCTGGTTTCAGTAGCAGTTTTGAAACCTTAGTACATTTTTAACAGCATGTGGGTGTCAGTGCCATTATGATTCTCCTAAGTTTCCACGAAGACTGCTTTGAGTCTCTTGGACTGGAGGTACAAGTAACTTAGAAATAAATACAAGGTGACATCCTGACACTATCAGAGTCATTGATGTGATCACAAAATTGTTTCCTAAATCAGCATCTTCCTTTAAAGCTGAACAGTTAAGAATTACCTGTCAATGTTTTCTATATATGATCTTGATATTCCTACAAAGAAAAAAGAAGGGGTAAGAATTGGCTTTGCCTTTACTATAACACTAGAATATTGTAACTCACATGCTTTCTAAACGTGAACTAAGATTTCATTTGGCAATATTAGATTCTAAAGGTAATAAATTCCAACAGAAATTACATACATAAAAAGATCATCTTAGAGCTTTTATGGTACTAATAATTAAATTGACAACCACAGAGCAAAGGAAAATTAATGGAAATACCTTATTAAAATATCAAGCGGGCGTTGGTGGTATAGTGGTGAGCATAGCTGCCTTCCTTATTAAAATATCAAAAATTATTACTGAAGGGAGGATAGCAAGCTGTAGTTAACTCAAAATTGACCTTAAAAGGAAATGTGTAACAGAACTGAAAAAGGTTTTGAGCAATGAAAATATTGTACTATAGAATTGCTCGACAAAGGAGTCAGAGGAATTTCTAAGACCGTTCTTATGACTTTTCTGTCCTTCACTTTGCTCTCATCCCAAAAGGATAGACTTTGTCTTTCTACAGACAACTCTACCTGGCCACACATCTATTAGAGAGTTCATATTGAAGAAGAAAATAACCAAAGAAAGTTGGTACCTAGCCTTCTACAAAAGAAGTGTCACTGGATACCAATCAATAATGAACATATCAAGAAGCTCCTCTTCTAGCTAAATGATCTGGATGAAGAGATTTCTGACTTCCTCATGAATGTCAAGAATAGCTGTCAGAATATGTATGTAACTTGAGCGTAGGTACACATAGGTGAAATTGATGTAGAATATGGCAACAGTATTAGTTTTCTCCCCTTTCAGATTGCCTTTCTCAACCTTACCATGCCATTCCATATATCTGAGTTGTGCCTCATTTATTTATTGGCAATATTTAGTGGTATGGATAACAAAAGATATGAAGAACTATAATATTTATTAAGATTTATCCTCTAAATACCGTACTTAAAGGGAAAGATGGTGAACGGTGAGTACTGTGTACTTAGGTCTTCAAAGGCAAAGCAGAAGACAAGCCACAAGGTAAATCTGTAGACTGTTCACATTCTCCTCTACCAGTCCCTTCAAGTATTTTCCATCCTCATAGATATTTGGGAAGGAAAATTAGACAAAATGATGTTTTGTAATTCCTGTTGTTCCTCACAGCCCATTTTTGCCCTGCTTAGAATTGATTGAATTTAAAGGGACAGCTAGCTGTGTTCCCTTGGCTGTCAATATATAGTGTTGTCGAAGAGCTAGTAAGCGCCAACTGCCTCAGCTCCTCTGTGTCCCGTTCGGCCCCCCCCCCCCCCCCCCCCCCCCCCCCCCCCGCCCAGCCCCCGGTTTTTCTTGAACTTGGGTTGCAGAGCTGCCCCTGCCCCTCCCCCATAATTGAGACTTGAGCATTCTGATGAAGACTGGGCAGTTGCCTGATCTTCGTTCCTGTAGCCAAAGTTGTTCATTAAAATCCCAAATCTACGTAATGAAAAAATACCAAATACAGACACCTTTCAGCTACTTAAAAGTCACCATCTTCCCTCCGCTGTACTCTTACAGCGATTCATTTTTCCTTACAAAACATTTTATTCTGGGTGGCACTTTTTAAGTGACAAACTATTGAAGATCTGGAAAAACGTGAGCTGCTCTGCAGTCGCCCTGCTCTGCACTGTGGTGGCCCCCGGTGCCAGTGCTGTTAAACCCTTCAGGCGAGGCTGCGGGGGTCAGTCACGTTGCTGCTAAGAGTGGTGTCAGACCAGAACCCAGATGCTCAAAAGTACTCTGATTTTTGAGCTGGAATATATTAGAGGAAAAGCAAATATGAGGAATGGGGATGGCAATAGGTAAATACTACTGTTCAGTCTCCAAACTCTGTCCTAAGCTGAGGGGGTAATTCGAGTCCCATGCTCCGCTTTGTTACTTACATCTGGTTTAGGAATGTACTAGTAATAAAAGATGCCAGTGACTTTGAATAGGTGGTTACAGAATACTTAGTGCAGAAGAGTGAAAATGTTATTTGCATTCTTCAGAAGTGCTAAGAGTCTTTGGTCATTGCCTTAAAGCGGTCTGCTTGCAGTTAGTTAAGGGCACTGAAGCAGTGCAGCTCCATGCAGGGCATTGCAGTGAAGGGAGATGAACCTTTGTTCAAGAGGCCTTAGAAAGGGGCCCCTCGAAATAGTACTCTTTCTCCGGCTCCACAGTGGTGAAAATTATTTTCAACTGGATATTATTCAACTTGATTTCTAATGTTTCCACTACAGTGAGGTAAACCTTTTCCTTTTTTTAAAGTGGAATGCAGATAGCATTTTACTTTGGTATTGCTCGTTTCTCCTTTTTTTCTTTTTCTCTATTTCTTTGGTGATGGAGTTTGTTGATGATGGACATTTGTGGAAAACTCATTCAAGTCTATAACCTTTCCAATATCTGTGATCCTATTCCTAGTCCCTTGGGAGTCAGTGTTGGAAGGTATAAACACTGGATATTACTATTGCTGAGTGAGTCTAGCCAGGAGTGAGCAGATTGGAATTTTCAAATGGTGGAAAAGGAACAGCACAAAGGCACTTGCCATTTTAATTAGCAATTGGAGAGAGAGACCCTTTTAAGTTTGTTTGGGTTGGGTGAGCATTCCTCTAAAAGGAGCTTCTGAAATAAATGCAAAGGAAAAGAGTCGACTATTTTTATAGCATATTTAATATATTTGTATATAACTATGAATATGGTAGGAACCCTCCACATGCCTCCACTTTTCTAATTTACTCCCCCTTTTGCCATAGCACTAGTATAGCCTCATCCGCATGGGTAACGTGCCTATTGTCAGCCTACCAAAAGATAGCGCTGCTGCTTTCTGAGACAGGTGAGACCACCCAACTCTCATGCCTGGGGATCCTTTCTGTAGGAATAGCACACACTTCGAAAACAACATAACCACAGTCTGAAAGCATCATTTTGAAATGTAACAAGCACTTTATTGCAACTATTCATTTTGATAAAGTTTATTATCTTAAGCATTACCATTTCTAAAGGATCCCCAAATCATCACTTAGGTGAAATTTTAAAATGATACATTTCTGAGAAATGTTTAGATCCAGTGAACCGTAGCAGGTTTCTGGGAGTGATTTCAAGGTAGCCAAATGAACTTTGACTTTGGTTCTGAATGTGGCGGAGTCAAGAGATTGTAGATGGCTAGTTCCGTTTCGACACTATTGTAAACCTGTCTTGCCTATCATGTAGACACCAAAAGAGACCAATGAGCCTGTTTATTTTCAGAGGCCTAGGACAGTTGCATCAGTGTGAATAGATGTATAGAACTAACCTAAAAGTGACTGGTAGTAATATTTTAGAATATGATAATTTCAAGAATTCTTCTGGGTGTTTTAAATGTGCTCTGAAATGTTGGCATGTCATTTCAGCGTTTCCATTTGAATTGCTCTTATAATCTCTTTTGCACAAAAAGGACTGAGAAAAAGACAACTTCAGTTGAAGAAAAGTATAATTTGGTCTTATTTTAAATATGTCTCCTGTGGAAACACAGGGGATAAATTTTGTTGGTATAGTTAGTTATTAATTCAGGATATTTAAAACAGTATTGAACAGCTCACAAGAAATTCAGCAAATGTGGACATTTAAAAATTAAAACTTTGTTTCCATGTGACTGTTTTGCATATTTTCCCCCTTGTCATAATTTAACACTACATTCCTTGTTTTTCTTAAATAAAATAATACTTTGCAGGTTCTGCTTTGAGTATTTAACAATATTTTTGTAAGCTGCCTGGGTCTTCCTAGGGAAACGTTTAGTGAAGTAGGATATAGTTTATGAAGAGACTGTTGAAGTGGAATCCCATCACCACCACCAGCAAACACTGAGGTGCTGCATTCAGTGACAATCAAAATAGTGAGTATTTATGGAAGAATTTAGAACGTGATTTTAAAGAGGCAATTGCTTTGAAAGCAGTTCTCTGGGTTTGTTGAATGAAAATGGCTAAATGTATTTATTTATATTTTTAAATATCTGTGTTGTTTTCTCATCAGAGTGATTTCACAGTGTCATGTATTTAATTTGTGGTTTGTTTTGTTCTGCTTCGTGATCTTCTACTTAAAAGAACTGGCTCCTCTATCTGGGGGCGCAGTCTCCAGCCCTCACCAGGACTGTCCCTGGGCCAATCCAAATCTGTTTTACTTCAGGACGGCAGTGGAGGGCCCAAAGCCGGATGCCCTGGCACTTCCCTCCTGTTCTCAACTCATTTAAGAAAAAATAAAGGTAACTCCTTCCAAATTTGCTTTGTATAGCTCCAGCCTTTTTTCTAGTTTCACTTGCTGCCTTTTCTATTTTATGGGTACTTTTTATAGGATTACTTCCCCAATGCAGCCAAAGGCCAGTAGGACAGAACCAGTGGCACACATTGCCTCTGTTCTGCCCATTTGGGGAAATGTTAGTAAGAAGACCGGCATCTTCAAATGGCTGTCACTATCATATCCATAGTAAAGCCCATTTCAAGTCCTTAAATACAGGTGGAACAACGTATGTGCACTGTACTCTCCTACAAAAACTGTTTGCTGTCTTTAGGGTACTGTTGCTTGGCTCTACAAAAACAAGGCCTTCATACACAGTACTAGCCACTCAAGTAGTGTTGGGACATTTGAAGCCTACAAGTTGGAGGATACTTCTTAGCTAGTATACATCGGAACAGAATTCTCCATTCTAGGGCTCTCCGAGGAGCTCTTGAGTCCCACAGGCCTCCAGTGGCGTGTACCATCTAGCTTTCGGGACCCCTCAGAGAATGATAACCAAAGCATGTCAGCCACAAGTTGGATTTAATGATGTAGAACATGTTTAACTCTGAGGCTTAAAATGAAAATGTGTTTCAAATGTATGCTTTTATTTCTGAGGAAACAAACTGTGACATCGCTTAAAAAATGACATTCAAATGTTTTATGTGTGTTTTGAGTTATTCTGTACTGGTGCAAATTCACTGCTGGCAATGGTTGTGCCAGTACTAAAGAGTTAGTAGAGAAAGCTCTATTATCCTTAGATTGATGTATTATGTACCTAGACAATCATCAAGCAAAACAAAGTTGGCCAGGAAATGTCTTTTTTTTTCCCCCCCATGTCAGCTAGAACAGCTGTAACTTTAGACCATTCTAGAATTATTTTGGAATCTGTTTTACTATGGCGTAAGTTGGGGAAGGGCCTCAGTATGGCACTTGCACATTTACTCTATGTAGAGATGGAAGCCCAAAGATGAGTCACATTCAGTGCTGTGTTGAAACCAGTTAGTGCAAAAAAGTTTTATCTTTGTAAATTTTTAATTGTTAACATCAGTTAGTAGCTGTAAAAACATACACCAAATTCTTTCTAATGTTCTGTGTGATTCTTGGTTGTGCTACTCTTGACATTGCTGTCCTTACTGCTTGGTTCTTGGTTTTAGATAAAAATTAGATGTAGCCCATTGTCTTAACTTCCAAAAAGGTAGAGCTATATGTACATGGCTAACTGATCTTAAGAATACGTACTTTTCCTAAAGCAAACATTGAATTGAAATCCAAACTGATTTACAAAAACGAGATGGACATCTTGTAGGTATTGTATTCTGCCCCAATCCTAAATTGTACCGAAGCACGAAGGGATAATGAATGGTTTCAATGGTGCTATCTTAGGTTCTCTGCTGATTTTCATGAGCTGTGTTTGGAAGTACAATATTACATAAAACGTGGATCATTTTGTTACCAACTTACTATTGCCATTTTAATTTGGTGTTACAATTGGTTGCACTTGTTTTTCAGCACTGTCCTTTGAGAAGAGGTAATGTGTTTTATTAGCCTACCTCCACTCAGGCCTCTTGGTGTATGATCATTTCTCCAGGTTATGATGTGCATAGTTTTCTAAAACTACATGTACTATTATTATATTGCTCTTTCCCGTAGACTTTTGTAATGTATTCCAAACCTAAAATCATAACAAAAGAGCCAAGCAGTAGCATCGGTTGGTTTTTTTTGTTTTGTTTTTCGTTTTTTTTTTTTTTTTTGTAAATGTAAAACTAATTAGATCCAGACTTTGTTTCCTTACTCAATTTTAAAAATAAAAAATACCTCAGTGCTATGTTTTTCAGTATCACCTGCATTTCTCAAAAAATAACACCCGCTTTATGTGGCACATAACTTGTAAGAATCACATTATTTTGGATTTTAAAGGAAGACTATTAAATATTTTAAAATCAACACCAATGACATTTTCTTCTCTTTTTACTCAGCAATGGAGTCTAACCGCATTAGCGATTTTTAACCTCGTAGCTTCGTGTCGGAACTGCCAAATTCTTGTAGTAGTAGTAGTACTGTCCTGGTACAAGGTGGTAGAGCCTCAAGAAAGCTATGCTGTCTGTTAGCCCCGCATTAAGCTAGTTCTTGGGCCAGGCTGCCTGCACTGCCAGTCGGGGTTGTGATGGCACCAGCTACTTTCTAACAGGGAATTCTCCTTTCTGGTCTTGGAAAAGAAAGAATGCAATTACTTGCTTGCTCTGTTTGTAATAATCTAAAGCAGTATTAGGGGAGTGGTGGTGTGGTCTAGGGATGTCAAGCTGAGATTTCTTTGAAGTGTTTTATCTTCCCAGGTGGACACTGTGTTTTTCTACCCTGTAATTACACTTCCGTTAAAACAGTCATTAAGATCTCTTCACGATAGTGGTTAGCGGTCTTTCCCACAGTGTCACTACAGCATGGTTGCTGCACTGACTTAACTGGATTTTTCCACAGTCTCTCGAAATGACAAATCACACATTGTGAACTTTCGTAATAGCTCAGTAAACCCGATCTGCTCTGGGTCTACCCTTCTACTTCACACAAGGAACACGTGGGAGTTTTCTGCGGAAGACATGCCCTTCAGGTTGAAAGAGGCTATTAAATAACAGTGCTAGTTAGTGCACATGGTAATAGAACATAGCAGGCTGGGAGAAGGCAGTTATGTTGTTTGGATAGAATCATTAACAGTCAAGTTAGAATACACTTTAAATGACAGTGACTACCAAAGTTACTATGATAAGATGAGGTAGCCTTATGTAATCGAGGATTATAGGCTCTATCAACAGTGTGGTTTGATGCACTGTTCTGCCTAGAACTTTTCATCCTTACGTTAGTACCTTCTACCTCACAGAGCTGTGTGAGGGTTATGGGGAGACAGTGCTTTAGAAGACGGTTGGCTCCTATTTTTTAATACCGACTTTAGAAACTGGTCTGTAAATATTAATACTACGAAGTTACAAGTCTACATAACACACAAGGGAAAACAAGCTCTGGTCATACCACTTTTATTTACATCGTATCTATGTTACATTGTTTATTCAATATAGAAAAAATATGAATACACTCAGTATTCTCTTTTAATTTAGTAACTCCACGTTGTCAAATATTGACTGTTTTTATATTGGGTTTCCTACCCAATTAAAAAAAAGGGTGGGGTGGGGGGGGGAATGAACCTGGCAAACAATTCTTGCCATGTTAACAGTAATATGTTCCTCTTTAAAAAAAAAAAAAAAAACAAAAGAAAACTGATTTTTAAAAGACTTGTGATTAAACTGCTTACTGGCTTAAGGAAATATTTTAAAAGATAAAAATCAATTCATTCCTCCCTCAAGAAAAATGTTAAGGCAGTTATCATCTTAAAAACAGCTCAGTGATCCAGGATAAAATGTATATTCCTCATAAAGGGGTCAGTACTAAAAGAAAGTCAAGGGTAGACCCCATCGCACAATGGTTCTATGTATGCCCTCTCCCACAAATAACTAAAAGAAAGGTGACCATATCAACATAATTGTGCTGGAGAAAAGAAAAATCCACACTTAGATACCTGGTTTCTTTTAAAAATCCATGTTGCAAACAGAAGCAATGATTATTTCTTTTGGACATTATACTTTCTTTAAATGGGTCAAACTGGCAAATCAACACTACAAAATATGTCTTCTCCGTCACTTTTAGTTATAATGCACACTATGTACATAAAGACAAGAGTTACCTATCTTAAACTAAATACAAATTAAAAAACGGCTTGTTAAAAACCAGAATCGGGACTTATAAACAGCGCAGAAAATGCAAACGCCAAAAATACGATGCCTCCTATGATCGTCACTGTAAGAGAAGAGAAACAAAGTGAAATAAGGCAAAATTCCTCTAGGAGGGAGCTAAGGTGTTGCCCATTACTCTTCCAATCTGGTAAACCCTGAAAAGAAATTAGAAACATTCAGGCCCCATTAAGTGAAGCAAAGCATACGTAATATGCCTGACTGTACAATAAGAATGCATTGCTTCCCCAGTGTTGTCTCGAGAGATGACAGTGTTGAAATTGAGACAGCGCTGGTAAGCAGCAATACGACTGTAACTCATCTTAAAACCCAGTTATTAAAATGAATGTTCCACAATCTCTGACAAGCGAAGAGACTTCTGTATTCCATTTTTAGGCCCTAGCAGCTACACAGGAAATTCTCCTAGGTGGAATCCATAAACATGGTCTCCACCTACGAATCTCAGTCTTCTAAGACACACCTTTAAGGCCAGAAAGTTTCATTTCCAACATGATGATTGTTTTACTTACGTTGACAAACAGCTACCAAAAATCCAGTAAGGCTTTCAGATGAACTCGTATTTTACTAGCATCTACATATGTGAAAAACAGTCCACGTTCGCAACAGCAGTAACCAAATGTACTCCAGAATGTTAAAACTAAGAACCAGCTCTTTTTCTAATCTCTTAGCAATTCTAAGAGTTAAGTGATATTTTCTTCGTAAGTTAAAGCACAAAAGACTTACCGGTTCTGACAGAGATTTTTTGGGCTATCATTCTTCCTCCGATGACTGCTAGTCCGGTGCATAAGCAGTGGCCCACTGTCCCACCCACTGCTACGCCATACGGGTCCTGGAAGCAAGTGTGACTAACATTAATTTAAAAGCAGTTGAAACTGTTACCTGAGAAAGATAACTGTTAGCCACTGAAAATGGAAATGAATAACAAAGCCTAAACACGTCTAAAAACTCAGGTGTGTGAGGTACGAAAATTGTAATAGCTGCTTGAGGGAATATTTGCAATCATATCCAGGAATCGAGCTAAAAGCAGACAAATTTCTAAGATCAAAATAATGCTAATTCAAGCAGGCAGCAGTTGTCACCATTCAGGCCATATTTAGCTCTTAAGTGACAAGTGCTGAGGGGATTCACCCCAGACCTCTCTTCCCTCAGGTAGTGTCTGCTATTAGGAGGAAACAAGGCAAGCCTTTACAGACCCGGCCTCCCTTTCTCTCCACTGTGTCTCCGGTGCTTCAACTCAGAGCCAGGAACACGGTATTCATTCCCTAAATCCTTGCTGCCAGAGCAAACTGGAGTCCCTCAGACTGGGAAGACCAGTGAAAATTTTCCAGAAAGAATACCTCTGCAGGACTAGCAGGAAAATTTGACTTGTGGAGGAGAGAACATCCTAGAAGGCAAAAGGCCAGCAATAAGAGACAACTGCAGAAAAGGTTAACACACATTTCCAGAGAGAACCAATGAGTCACAAGAGAGGTATCCCATCAACCTAAGTGGAGGCCAGCTCATGAAGGACCCTATCGATAGGCTTACAGTTTAGACTTTAAGACACACTGGTTTTTAGCTGGTGAGTGACAGAACAGGAGGTATATGCTTTAAAAGTCTAGTGCAGAGAATGAGCTGGAAGGGAACAAGATTGAAGGCAAGGGGCTCAATTGCCTGGATTGGGGTGGGAGACTGGAAGCAGAGAAAAGCAGGTGGATTTGAGAATTAAGGAGGCAGAATTGATACACCCTAGTGATAGGTGTTACAGAAGAGAAAAATCAGGTATGACACCCATACTTCTCACCTATAATCCTCTAGATGAATTATGATAATACCAACATGACTCAAAAGTTATTCGGAGCATGTGGGTGACTCAGTCATTTAAGCGTCCAACTCTTGATTTCCGCTCAGGCCCTGATTCCCATGTCAGGCTCTGTGCTCACAGTGTGGAACCTGCTCAGGATTCTCTCTCCCTCTCTGGCCATCCCCTTCTTGTGCTCTCTCTCTCTCTCAAAATAAACATTAAAAAGGGGGGGGGGGAAGGAGTGAAGAAAGGGTTTATGGGTGCTGACAGAAGTTAAAAGTGGGAGAAGTTCAGGAGTCGGTTGGGTTCAATGGTGAAGCAGCTACAGGACTGAAGAGAACGGCCCTGAGAGGGAGAATGCAGACGAAGATGCCGAGGACGACATAACAGTAAGAAAAGCAACACTGAAGGGATGACGGAGGGAGAGGAGCCCAAAGAAGACTCTGGAGGGAGTCAGACAATTAGCCTCCCAAGAGGAGCACTGAGGGGCCTGTGGGTGGCTGCAGGGAACTCGAAGCCCCCATCAATCCTCCCGATGAGGTCAGAAACTAGGGTCCGGTGCGTTTAGAAACCAAGAAAGTAGAGCAACTCCTGTTTGCCATCAGAGCCCGGCCTTTTGAGACCGGGGGGAGGGACGGAGAGGCTGGCATCTGCAAGGGAAGCAGAATCCAGTAAGGTGTGAAACTGCAGATGAGAAAGACTCCTACGTGCTAAAATGCTCACAGCAGGGCTGGGAGAAAGGCAAAGGTTTAAGTAACGGAGTGGAGACATGGGGCTGTGATCCAGAACCCAGCAGGGACAGGACTGCCACTGAGAGCGTGGAGGGAAGAGACGCAGACACCTCTGTGAACCACGTGTGGCAGAGCGGGGCCGCACTGCTCATTCTGTGTATTCAAACTTCTCAGCTGGCATCCGTGAAGATGCTGTCACTCTATCTCAAAGTGGTGCTTGAACAGTCACTGGATTGAATAAAATTTAAAAATTCCTTTAAAACAGAAGTTTTCGGTCTTTGTTATTTGCCAAATTCATTTGATCCTGGAACCTCATCCCCCATTTTTTTTTTTTTTTTTTGCTTAGTACCTAATTAAGGACACTAAATTCAGTTGGAAACAAAGAAATAGAGTTCAGACTAAAATGGACTGAACTGCATCTCAGCATAATTTATATAAAAAACTACTCAGAAAAGGTTAGGAATGTTAAGGGAAACAGACAAGCTGGCTTCTGCCCCTGAAGAGCTCGCAGTATCCCCACGGTGCTGGTGGCCGGTGGCACTGCATCGGGGACTCCACATGCATCATCTTGCTTCATCCCCGGAATAATCCCACGAAGTAGGGAAATGCCCCATTTTCAGACAAGGAAATGGTGCGGGAACGCGGTCACACAGCTGAGGACTCACTCCACGCTGCTAGACTGCAGCAGACCGAGGGAGCTGACACGGACAGCAGATGTGGACCTTTCACAGTCTGTGCCACACAGACGACAGGATGAAGAAAAACGTAGTGATTTCTGCCATCATGACAGCTCTCACTGGCAGGACCACCACCACTGTCCCCACCACCACAGAAAGAGGTGACTTTGTTTCAAGTCCCAATGCTGACAATCTGAAAGCCGCTAAAAAAGGCTAAGAATGAAGAAAACTATAGGGCACGGCCATTACAGTGACATTTTAAAAGGAAGTTTTAAAATACAGGACTCAAGTGAAAAAACCAAGTTCCTCTTTTTCTTTCAATACAACATTTTTGATGCTTCTCTGACCAAATAGCCCCGTCCCAACCCTTGGTCCGGGCCTGCAACTTGTTTTATATTTTCTCTTCTTTTTTTCTTTTTAAATGTTTTATTTATTTATTTATTTATTTTCAAGGGGAGGGGGGGCCGGAAGAGAGAGAGGGACAGAGAAAATCCCAAGCAGACTCCACGCTGTCAGTGCAGAGCCCAACATGGGGCTTGATCCCACAAAGCCGGGAGATCATGACCTGAGCTGAAATCAAGAGTAAGAGGCTCAACTGACTGAGCCACTCAGGCGTCCCTCGTTCTGTATTTTAAACTGTGGCCTATGTTAAGGAACTTGCTCTTTTATGGTAGGCATCTCCTAGGAGTTAAGGACAAATTCAAATCACGCTTGTTATCTAAAACCTACCATCAGATAAAAACAATAATTTAACAGATAGAGACACTCCCTCAGCTAAGATCACCAAGAGACTGAAAAGTCCCCACAGTACTGCATTCCACAACCATCTCCTCAGATCTTAACAGACCTGTGTGACCAATAAGACACCTCATGTAAAACGTTACTAATTCTTCTCAAAAGAAATAAAGATTATAATTTTAAAAACAAACAACCTCCCCCCAAAAGCTAGCTTTTACATAAGTGGCATTTGATATCTATGAACAAGATATGGTAGAAGATGCTAGAAGGCCAAGAGCCACAGCTTCTAGTCCTTGCCACTGCTACCAACTAGCTTATGACTTTGGACAAGTTGCCAGGTGTCTCTGAGCCTCAGGTTGTGCATCTTTAGAGCAAAGGGCAGGACAAGGTGACCACAAGTCTCCCCTAGCTTACCATTCCAGACCTTAGTATTCCGGGGGCTAAGATTAGCAAATTGTATATCCAGAAACAAGTCAACTGTAATTGCACTACCCAGAGATAAGCACTGGGAACATTGTGATTTCCTGAATCTTCCATTCACCAAAGAGTGAATATTCCCAGAGCTATGTAGAAATTAGTAAATGAACTAATTTCTCTTGTGCTGGACACTGAGGCCGTTTTGGATTTTCCACTGAACAGTATTTTGTAAAGTAACCCCTGAAACACTGAAGTTCTAAGAAAAGCCAGAAAACCGAGTCAAGACAACTGCCATGGTATCTATCCCTCCAGCAAACCTGGAGGGAAGAGGAGTAAACAGAAGTCCAAAGACGGCAGTTAGGTTGGGCCACAGGACACCATCTGCCTGCAGAAGCTGGAGACCGTTCATTTTAAAGAGAATCGGGATTATCAGGGATTAGAAAATAGTCTAACATATGAAGTAGTCTCTTGGCCCACACGGACTGTTCAGGGTCCTGTGGAGTGAAGTAACAGTGTTATGCTTAGTTTTAACAATAATACAGAAGCAGTCATTTCTCAAGTATTACTCGCCTCTCTGGCTGCCAGAACAATCGTAGTTAGTTGGGAGCGATCACCCCATTCGGCTAAGAATGTCAGTGTGAGAGCCTGAACGAAGATGGGGGAGATAAAATGCAGCCATCTCTTCTGGGGTATTGTCGTGCTTGCACCCGTTTCAACATCTCCTGGTCCATTTAAGAGTTTAGTTCGTTGAAACTAAATTAGAAAGAAAAAAGAGAGAAAATAGTCCCAGCAGACAAATAAAAAGAGTACAAAATTACTTAATCTTTCTTTTAAAAACTGTTTAAATTCTATGGACTATGCTCCAAGAAACTAAAACTATGTAACCCCAGGGGCACCTGGGTGGCTCAGTCGGTTAAGCGTCCGACTTTGGCTCAGGTCATGATCTCACAGTTTGTGGGTTCCGGCCACACGTTGGGCTCTGTGCTGACAGCTCACAGCCTGGAGCCCGCTTCGGATTCTGTGTCTCCCTCTCTCTCTGCCCCTCGCCCCCGCCCCTTAAAAACAAACATACATTAAAAAAATTATGTGACCCCAAAGTTCTCTTTTGAACCACTGGCCTCACACAGCAACACACACTACATTCTCAATTCTTCCGTTCCTCCACCACAAAATCAACCAATATTTACTGATCACTTACTATCCTAAATGCTGTGGGAAGAAACTTGTAAAATACAAACTATAGCTCCTGCTTTGCAGGAGCTTACAATCCCCTGAGGAACCTCATCCCATGAGGTTGACACTCTACCACATCCCCGTTCACTCAGCGTCTTATCACAGACCGCTCTAAGAATGCAAAGTGGGCAAAACAAGCTTCTATTTTTTTTTCTTTAAACTTCTTTTGAGGAGCCCACATATATCACTCAGATACGGATAACCATGGAAAACCTCTAGATAATACTTATTCTTAGTGGAGTGCTTTTTTGGTCCAGACGTTTAGGAGCACCATGACTTACTTCTTCATCCTTTTTCTTTAATTCTGCTTGAACTTCTTCCAGTTCCTCTTGACCCTCATCTGGACTCATCTTTAAGCCTTCTCGAAGCATTCTAATGCCAAAAATGGCAAATAATGCAGTGGAAACATAGTACGTATACACCCTGGGGATGACTGTGGTGGCATAGCCGAACAAAACTGGAAAAAAATGCAGAGTATGGACAATTAGCATGCGTCTCATAATTCTGATTATGAGAAATCATAACTGAACATTGTTCTCAAGGAAAAGCTCATCTAAAACATAATAACCCGGCTTGCCACATGTCATGTCAACTTTAGGTAGAAAGTTAACTCTGATGCCCTCTAAGGAGTCGGACATCTTATAACCTGGAAGCTATACCACTTTCATACGCAAGTGATATTTCTTCATTACAAGTCTTTAAATTGCAAACTTCTTTAGTGAAGAATCATGACAAGATTCTCAAATGATAGGTATGATTCAAACTCTGCTCCTTTGTAATTATTTCAATATATCTGATAAAAGAAAACAAATCATTGCTATACCATACCCTAAAATAACATTTACAACAGACTCGAATTTATTCAGTATCGTTCTTTCCTACCATTAAAGAAAAGAGGACCACTGTATAAGTTATACCAAAAAAACCTTGGAACTGTATCAAGAACCCAAATCCTAACCATGAAACACATTTATACCGGCGTTATCAGTTCAGTAGTTAAAACTTAAAAACTACAGAAGGGCCAGAGGAGATTTTCACACAAATAATAAATGCAATTATCCTTTACTTCACATGCTCTTTTTATAAAATGGGCACAACACTTCAAAATCTGGATGAACGCCAAATGTATAACTGCACAGATAAAATAGTCCCAGGTCACTATAATTACAAAATTCAAGATTTTAAAATCATGTTTAGAAACACATCACATCTACGCTTATGTGTACGTCTATGTTCTGATTATATGTATAAATATATACATTTGTGTATATGTATATGTACACACACAATACAGACCTATTATTTTCTAGCTCTATCCAGTGAAAAGGCCAAAAAGCAAAGACATCTCAGTAATGAGACCATTTGACATCCATTCTTGGCTTCTCACACCACTCCCCACTAAAAGCCTCCTCAGAAAAATGGCTAATTCCAGGCCTATGCAGACCAGGTACAAGCTGAACTTGTGCTATCTTGTCGTACTAGAAAGTACGGAGGAACAAAACCAATGATGGGAACATGACGCAAGGACACGGGAGCTGGCTTGGAGGGGCTTCCCCCAGCCAAATCTGGGGCAATTGAAGCAATATAATTAGGTAATTAATTATAACCCACTGAAAACAATGAATCCCCAAGTTTATACTGACAACAAAGAGACAAACGAGTGGGATGGGAAGGAGAGCTCTGTGAGCGTAGTGTGCCAGGCCCGCTGGACACGGGGATAGGCTACTAGAATCAGAAAGCCATCATTCTGCAATTATCAAGGTAAATTGAGATCATGGAAGAATCATTAACCCTAAACAATGGGCAACAGGGTGTCCGTACGGTCTTATTTAAAGTGTCTCCCTAAAGACTGCATATTAGTTGCAGGGAAAGAGAAAAAGACAGTACACAAGAAAAATCTTGACGTCGCTGAGGGACAGACAGACATCTTGTTCTTCCAGATGTGACGTTCTCAGAGGGACAAATATCACCTATGCAGCATTCTGGTCAAAAATGCATTACCTTAATCTAATTATGAGGAAACAGCAGAGAAACACAAAATGAGAAGCAATCCATTAAAAGGGGAGGGGCTGTCTTCTTTAAAAAATGTTAGTATCATAAAACACAAGAAAAGGCTGTCGAAGTGTTTCCGATTAAAAGACTAAAAAAGAGGGGCACCTGGATAGTTCAGTTGGTTGAGGGTACAACTATTGATTTTGGCTCAGGTCACAATCCCAGGGTTGTGGGGTCAGAGCCCTAGGTCGGAGCCCCATGTGTGGAGCCTGCTTAAGATTCTTTCTCTCTCTCTCCCTCCCTCTCTCTCTCTCTCTCGCCCCACCCCCCCACCCCATCCCAGCTCACACATTCTCTAAAAAATAAAAAAACTTAAAAAAAAAGACTAACAAACTAGTAAGACCCAAATGTAATACCTGACCTAGACTAGCTCCTCCTCTATGGGAGGGGGAAAAACTGCTACAGAGGATATTAAATCAACTGACAAAACCAAAATACAGATGGTAAAGCATGTATCCATCTATTCCTGTATGTGAAGATATATGTGTATATTTATCTACCTTATGTATCTGCATATATAACATGTACATGTCATATATATATATATATAAATAAATTATGTATGTAACTACACATATAATTTTTCTTAGATATAGACAGGTAAGTCACACAGGCTAAAGCACTGGGGTAAAATGCTAACAACACTGAATTTGTATAAAAGGTGTACAGGTGTTCTTTGTACTATTTTATTTTTGCAACTTTGTAAATTTAAAATATTTTCCATAAAAGGTTTTAAAATTTAAAAATGGAACGTAGTGAGCTTTTTTAAATCTCCTAAACTCAGTCTTCCTTCTATCTTCAGACAGTCTTAAAATGAAAACACCCTGATACTTACTGATCCTTATAGAGCCATCTTTTCTGCCTTCTGCCTGACATCTCCATGGGAGAGCAAAAAAACTACTTGGCATTGTAACTTTTCCTTCTCCTGGTTACTCTCCCTCTATTTCCTATTTCTTTGGAAACTGTCCCTCAGACACTCAAGCACTTTTGCTCTGGGAACAGTGAGATGTTACTTCTCATTAAGCATGGACTTTGCAACCAGTCAGAACAGAGCTACAAACGCACTGGTCCTTCTACATCGTGGCAGTGTTGAAGTTCCAAGAAAAATCTGGAGTGAAGATAGAGATATGGGACTCACGGACTTTTAGGTAATTAAACTGAGAGCACTCAGCACAAGGACGTTAGTGTGAAGGGGAAAAAAATGGGCCAAGGATACAATGGTGGGGGATGTGAGTATTTACTGGTACAAAGTGTTTTCGAAGAGAAACAGAAATGTAACGATAAGCACATGGTGTCATAGAAGCCAAGAGAATAAAGAGGTGGGGTATGCCCGTGAATGTGGCCTGCGGGGGCTCACTGAAATGAAAACTGAGCTCTAATAAGGGAAGCTGGTTACTGAAGCCTTTGCAAAGATGTCAGAAGCAGAAATCAGATTACAAGTGGCTAAGGAGGGAAATGGGAGAAAGAGCAGAGTGTGTGCTCACAACATGAGGAGGAAGAGCAGAGTAGTAAACTCTACTCTAACATGGGGGCGCCTGGGGGGGCTCAGTCCGTTAAGCGTCCGACTCTTGATTTCAGCTCAGGTCATGATACCGTTCTTGGGATTGAGCCCCGCATCAGGCTCCATGCGGACAGTGCGGAGCCTGTTTGGGACTCTCTCCCTCTCTCTCTATCCCTCCCCCACTCACGTTCTCTCTCTTAAAGTAAATAAAAACATTAAAAAAAACCTCTGAAGTACACAGGATTCTCATCATGCTGTTGTCAAATGGCACAGAGGGGCTAGGTAAATGCCCCCAGCTAAGTGAGGGGCTGAGCAGGAATGTGACCCCCCGCCCCGGCCCCCCCATGTTTAGCCCTCCACTGGCGTATAAGAGACAAGAGCTGCAAATGTGCAATCTCCGAACCGGGACTGACATACTCCCAGAGATTCTCAAAGACTTCATGAGGGGACACAGATGAATATTTTGCAAAAGAATCTATTTCCAGAAGTTCAACTTCCATAGGTTCTCTTTCCTAAAATTCATCTGCCTAAAAACATGCTTGTGGTTAAGGAGTCCTGCCGGCTTCCCTTTCTCACATCCCTTCTTGGTTGCCGTCTGTCTCCTTTACAAGGATGCCTTTTACCCAGCCTTCTATGGTGCATTTCCCCACAGTACGGAAAAATAGATGTCCTCGGGCAGCAGAGAGGGGGTCTAAACTACTGGTGTCTTCAATCAAGGCATAAATCAGACACAGGGCTTTGGGGCTTCCCTGTCTTATGCAAGTTTCTGGTAAGGTCATGACATCAGAAATAATGGCATTATGTTTGTTGGAACTAAAGGTCATGGCATTAGAACTAGGGTACCTGCAGGGCCCCTGGGTGGCTCAGTCGGTTAAGCGTCCGACTTTGGCTCAGGTCATGATCTCGTGGTTCATGAGTTCAAGCCCCACATCTGTGGTGACAGCTCAGAGCCTGGAGCCTGCTTCAGATTCTGTGTCTCCCTCTCTCTCTGCCCCTTCCCTGCTCACGCTCTGTCTCTCAAAAATAAACAAACATTAAAAAAAAAAGAGAGAGAAAGAAAAGAAATAGGGTACCTGGGCCTTGATAGGAATGACAATTTTCACTGAGAAACTGTGCCTCTTTCATTCTCCAACCAGTGTAAACAATGCATGTTCCCTAAGGCAGAGTCTTGTTACACGAAGCAAAGAGATCATCAGAAGGAAATACTACAGCCCTCGGTGTCTTACCTCGCCCTTGTGGCACTCTCATAGCTGGGGGCCATGCCTACTCCAGCCACCTATCATCCATTTTAGAAGAATTCTAAAGCAGATGGTTGTCATGGGGATGCATATCATGTTCATTTATTTATTTTTTTTTTAATTTTTTTTCTTTATTTATTCTTGAGAGAGAGACAGGGTGTGAGCCGGGGAGGAGCATAGAGAGAGGGAGAGACAGAATCCGAAGCAGGCTCCAGGCTCTGAGCTGTCAGCACAGAGCCTGACGTGGGGCTCGAACTCACAAACTGCGAGATCATGACCTGAGCTGAAGTCGGACGCTCAACCGACTGAGCCACCCAGGCGCCCCATCATGTTCATTTAAATTCAAAAACCAAGTCAAATGCTTTGTGACCGAGAGTCACAGGATTAGGATTAGATGATTTACTATGGACCTACTAGAACTGCTATAGCAATCAGGTAACGTGGCAGACATTTTCCATAAACTGAATGAGCTATATCTGCAGCTCCAAGGTTCTGGCAAAAATATACTTAAAATATGTGATGTGATATAATTTTTAAATAAAATCCTTTATTGGCGAAAGTACACACAAATGAACAATATTTCAATTTTCTCCATTATTTCTAAATATAGCCAGTTAAACAAAGTACTCATAAGTAAAAGACTAACATGTAGGGGCACCTGGGTGGCTCAGTCGGTTAAGCATCCAACTTTGGCTCAGGTCATGACGTCATAGTTCATGGGTTTGAGCCCCGTGTCCAGCTCTGTGCTGACAGCTCAGAGCCTAGAGTCTGCTTCGGATTCTGTGTCTCCCTCCCTCTCTGCCCTTCCCCTTCTTGAGCTCTCTCTCAAAAGTAAATAAACATTAAAAAAAAATAGGGGTACCTGGGTGGCTCATTTGGTTAAGCATATGACTCTTGATTTCAGTTCATATCATAATCTCATGAGTTCGTGAGATCAAGCCCCATCTCGGGCTCTGTGCTGATAGAACACATTCTCTCCCTCTCTGTCTGCCCCTCCCCACTTGTGCTCACTCTCTCTCTCTCTCTCTCTCAAAATAAAGGAATAAGCTTTAAAAAAATAAAGATCAGAACTGAGGCGACACCCTGCTTAATTCTATCAACAGAAATATTCATCCAAGGACATATAAGCTAATTTAAAAAGAATAGTTCTATCATTTCATTAAAAGATGCATTTCCAAACTTTAAAAAAATGTGTTGGGTAGTGTGATATATTAGCTAAATATACGTAATACGAATGTATGTAGTTTGTGATATAGTTTGCTTTGATCAACTGTACTATTAATAACTATAATCTGTAAAAAATATTAACATTTCAAGACTTAACAAAGGAAACTATCAGTATCTTTTTTTTTTAATTTTTTTTTAAATGTTTATTTATTTTTTGAGACAGAGAGAGACAGAGCATGAACAGGGGAGGAGCAGAGAGAGAGAGGGAGACACAGAATCCGAAGCAGCCTCCAGGCCCCGAGCTGTCAGCACAGAGCCCGACTCGGGGCTCGAACTCACGGACCATGAGATCGTGACCTGAGCCGAAGTCGGACGCTTAACCTACTGAGCCACCCAGGCGCCCCTATCAGTCTCTTTTAAAATTCACTTTATATGCAAATTTTTGCTGCAGATAAATGACAGTGTGATCCATAAGAGATTTTCAAGGAGAAAGTCATAATCATTAGGGTAAAATTCTATGAGGAAAAATATACTAGAAATTAGATCTCTGCAACCCCTTGAACTTAAGATGACACGCTTTAGATAACTTCCACATGAGAGGTGTGCAGAGTTTTTCCAAATGAGACACAAGGAAAGTCTGCAGACCACCGCACCAGCCTACAGCACAGGTGCGCAGCGTGGCCAGCGGGAAGGGGAGACCGGAGAGGGCAGGGCAGGAGACCAAGGTGGCCCTCAGCTGAGGAAAAGGAAGTGATCAGAGAGAAGAGGTGGGGAGCCCAGGGCACCGGGTTCTGAGGAGGGAACAGGCAGAGAGGCCAGCTTTCAAGCTACCCTCGAAGTGAGAGAAGTTTAAAAAATAAAATCCTCCGATACTATTCATACTCCTTCTGAACGATGACTTCACCACTTAACAACTCTCTCCACTCTCCCTATTTCCTGTGTCAGAATTTCCTTTGGAAGAAAAAAATTGTTTTTATTATGAAATATGATTAATGCTTTAACTTCTAAAATGTGTAAAGTGGTCAAATTATTTTAATCAGTAAAATACTCCTTTATTTTAGGTTTAAAACAACTTTAACTTGGACGGGTGTCCAAGCAGCCAGAAACAGAACTTGTTCTGTACATGAAGAACTAAGCTTCAGATGTGAGAGATGCTGAGGGGCAGAGGACCGAGCACCTGCAATATAGGATCTCACTTAACACGGACCACAACCCTACAAGGGAAGTAGGCTTTATCCTCTCTGTTCTACAGACGCGGACACTGAAGCTCGCAGGTTAAGGAACTTATCATTAGGCCACTACCCGACATCAGGCTCCAAACCAAGTCTGGCTATAAGGGGAAAGCTCCCGGCTTTCCTCCCAGCTTGGGGTGGCTTTGGAATTAGAGACTCCACTCTGTTTAATTATTTAGTGTTAACGTTTACTTTCGCATGGTCTAATTCTTTGAAAAAATGAAGTCTGTAGAATAGAAACACAAACTGGGAGTCTAAGAACATTTTATAATGGGGTAAGAACAGCGTAACCAAACACAGTAACTATGAAATGTCCTTCAACAGCTACTGGTTTCCAACATGTCCCTGAAATGTATTTGAGTCCTATTTCTAAGGTATCAGATATAAACCTATCTGGACTGAAAAGAAAAAAAAGCCAGGATACACACAGTCATAGCAAGGATAAAAACTAGTGAAGAAATGAGAAGTACGTGTCTTGGCTGTGAATAGCTGAAAATGTAACTTTAAAAGCGCAACATGGTTTTCAGCGGTTTATGTACCAATACCATATTCTGTTTACTAAATTCTGGAACTCTGGGAACCAAACTGCAACCCAACTAGCTGGATGATTCCATGACTCAACGGCCCACACCACGCTGTCTCCTTAATCCACTGAAGTCATTAGGAGGAAAGAGCACACTCACCTGATAAGCACGTCATCAGGCCCAGGGCAAGCATGGCCCCAGCCAACACCGTCAGACGGTTATAGCGCATGGCCATGATGGCGGCTATGAAAAATGTCTTATCACCCAGCTCAGATACAATGATAACTGATATGGCAGCGACAAATGCATGGATAAATCCCAAATTTGTCTGGGTAGCTGGATCTTCTTTATTGGAATGAACCGGGGCAGCTGGTGTAAATCCTTTCTGAAATAAAAAAAAAATATATATATGTATGTATCAGCTACTTCTTGAAAAAAATCATTACTTAAAATTGTTTTATTTTTGAATGCGAATTAAGGTTTTTTCTGGCCATTAGACTTATTTCCTGCCTAAGCACTGTGAAAGCCATTTTTTAAAAAAATTTTTTAATGTTGGGGCGCCTGGGTGGCTCAGTCGGTTGAGCGTCCGACTTCAGCTCGGGTCAAGATCTCACGGTCTGTGAGTTCGAGCCCCGGGTCCAGCTCTGTGCTGACAGCTCAGAGCCTGGAGACTGCTTCGGATTCTCTGTCTCCCTCTCTCTCTGACCTTCCCCCGTTCATGCTCTGTCTCTGTCTCAAAAATGAACACTGAAAAAATTTTTTACTTATTTTTGAGAGAGAGCAAGAGACAGAGTATGAACAAGGGAGGGACAGAGAGAAAGGAGACACAGAATCCAAAGCAGGCTCCAGGTTTTGAGCCTGATGCGCGACTTCAACTCACAAACCAGGAGCTCATGACCTGGGCTGCAGTCAGATGCTTGACTGACTGAGCCACCCAGGTGCCCCACTCTGAAAGCCATTTGTAATGACCAAAACCTCTAGCTGATGGATGCCACAATGCAGATCCAAGTACAAGTCTACAAAATAATTTTTTTTTAAAAAGAGTAGAGACCAGCTATAGCCCCATACTAAAACTACCTTATTTTCTAAGTATTTGTGATTTGAGATTTAGTTCTCAGCTATGTCTCATTCAAATTTTTACTTGTAACTTGAGTGGAAGAGCCAGGTATGTTTATCAAGCATTCAGGTAACGGAAAGCTGAGAGAAATTCCGTTAACACTTTAGAGGACAAAGTAGGTTCCAGAAAGCTCTCAACAGACTAGAGCAAGAAATGGCTCCAGCTAAGATGAGGTTTAATATAACTGGATATAAAAATATATAACTTATTCAACACCAAAAAACCCCCAATAATTTGATTAAAAATGGGCAGAGGACCCGAACAGGTATTTTTTCCAAAGACAACCAGATGGCCAAGAGACACATGAAAAGATGCACCACAACACTCGTCAGGAAAAGGTAAATCAAAACCGTAATGAGGTATCACCTTAATCTGTCAGAATGGCTAGAATAAAAAAGACAAGAAATAACAAGTGTTGGTGAGGGTGCAGAGAAATGGGAATGAACCCTCATGTGCCTGGTGGGAATGCAAATTGGTGCAGCCACTGTGGAAAATAGAATGGAGGCTCCTCAAGAAATTAAAAATAGAACTACCCGAAGACCCAGTAATTCCACTACTGGGTATTCACCCAAAGAAAACAAAAACACTAATTTGAAAAGATATATGCACTCCTATGTTCACTGCAGCATGACTGACAATAGTCAAGACAGGGAGGCAGCCTGTGTCCATCAACAGATGGATGAATAAACATGTGGTACACACACACAGTGGAATATTACTCGGCCATAAAAAAAGATGAGATCTTGTCATGTGCAGCAACACGGATGGACCTAGAGGGTATTAGGCTAAGTGAAATAAGGGAAAGACAAACACATGTGGAAGACCAAAACAAATGGATAAACAAACAAAAACCATGAACAGAGTCATAATTACAGAGAACTGATGCCTGCCAGGGAGTTGGAGGTAGGGGGATGGGCAAAATGGAGTGAATAAGTCACGGGAACAAAAGGTACAGCACAGGGACTATAGCCATGGTACTATGGTAGCCATGCATGGTGACAGATGGCAGCTACACCTGTGAGGTAGCATAACACAGTTGTTGAGTCCCTGTGCTGTGCACCTGAGACGAATATAACACTGTGTCCACCTCACTTCAATAAAAAAAATTAAAAACTATTAAAAAAATAGACATAGATAGCTGTATATACGGATGGTCCTAGGCTAAAGTCTAAAAATATCCTAGGAGATGTAATGTGGTCTAATAAAAAAGATAAACCGAAGTCTTGGTCAGCATTAATAAGGTCATTTTAAGCTGAAAATGTGACCAAGCTCAAACAAGCAACAGGCACTTCAAGTACTTGAAATAGTGGCAAATCCATTATTCTGTGCTGCTCAGTTCTTACAGAAGTTTTGTATGGCTCTGGGGCAGCACCATGAAGAAAGCACTGCCCCCCCCCCCCCAAAGATCATCCCAGACAGAAGAGGCTCTAAAACCAGGGACTGGCAAGCTACCGTGGGGCCAAGTCCAGCCTGTGTCAGCTAAGAGTGTTTTTTATATTTCCAAGGGGTTGCAAAAAATAAAAACACAGAGGGATGGAAGGAGGAGGGCTGGAAGAAGGAAAGGAAAATTATGCAACAGAGACCTTAAGTAGCTTCAAAACCTAAAGTATTATCTGGGCCATTAAAAAAAGTTTGCCAACTCAGGCTCCAAAACAATCAAATGAGGGATTAGGAAGGACTGGGGGCCTCTGTTCCAATAACCGCAAAAGTCTCTATGTGTGTATTTACTCTGTATGATCGCAAGAGGTAGAACTAAAAAGTCCCAGGGCAGGGCGCCTGGGTGGCTCAGTAGGTTGAGTGCCCGACTTCGGCTCAGGTCACGATCTCTCAGTCTGTGAGTTCGAGCCCCGCGTCGGGCTCTGGGCTGACAGCTCAGAGCCTGGAGCCTGCTTCAGATTCTGTGTCTCCCTCTCTCTCTGCCCCTCCCCCACTCATGCTCTGTCTCTCAAAAATGAATGTTTTAAAAAAAAAAAAAGTCCCAGGGGACCAGGGGAGGGCGGCACCTGGGTGGCTCAGTCATTTAAGCCTCTGACTCTTGATTTTGGCTCAGGGTTCATGAGTTTGAGCCCCACACTGGGATTCTCTATGTGTGTATGTGTCTGTTTGTCTCTCTTTCTCTCTCTCCCTCCCCCTCCCCTACGCACATGTGCACTCTCTCTCAAAATAAATAAATAAAACTTAAAACAAACGTCACAGGTAGCAGGTTTGGTGTCAGGTTTTAGCTTAACACAGGGAAAAGATTTCTGAAGCTGAACTGGACTGCTAGAGAAGGTAGGAAATTCCCTGCTCAAGGTCACCATTCCAGGGAAGAGAAGGACCACTTACAGGAAAATTCTCAGTGTGCGTGTCATTCCTCAACTAACAACGTAAACTTGTCCCATTCCACAGTGAAGATCAGCAAGATTTAAGCATTTATGAGATTACAACTTTGAGCTACAAACTGGGGAAATTTAACATTTTAGAAAATATTTGGTATTAGGACTAACTCAAGAAGGACAGCCTTGGAAGTCAGCTCTTGAAGAAGTACCATTCACAGAAATTCTGGCCTTCTCTCCATTACCATTTTAGTTCCATCTATGCTGATGTTTCTTTAAAAATGAGCTTCCTTTCTCTTCAAATACTCTATAGTCATTAAGCATCAAAAAATATATATATAAGCATTGCAACTTGGCTCTCATTAATGCAACCATTCTCCTCTCTGATACACCTTTTGTATGAAGAAACATCTCTGTAAAGTATGTATCATCCGAAATCCAAGAAAATGTTTAGGAATAAATATACGTTGTTTATGATCAATTAGGTCCAAGCTCAAACAGAAAATGTTTACTTGTAAAAACAAAACAGTGACCAAAACTACATATTTTTATGGCTTTATAACTCCCTGCTATAAAACCTTGGCCACATTACTTCGCCTCTCTGTTGCTCTGTGAAAAATGAAGACGACAAAATAAAATTTGCCTCCTGAGTATGACAAGAGAAAACAAAAAACTACATACTCTTAAAAACTTGCTATATACAGAACACAAGAAACTCAACTTGCAGCTTGGATATCCAAAAAGATAAGTGTGAAACCGCCAACCACGGTGAAAAGAATGTAAAACCAAAGTATCAGGGTATTATGGAGGTCCATTTTTAAAACTTAAAGTACTAATAATAGGGTCAGAAAATTATCAGCTACCATGCGTTTGCTGTCAAATGCCTAAGTGCTTACTGTGTGCAAAGAGCACATCCTTTTTCTAACTCACCGTCTGGGTGACTTGTAATGGTTCAATATGTGGCTGTGCTATCAAAATGCCTGGGTCCACAGCCAAGGCATTATCAGTCGACCTTGGGCCGGGAGGTCTGCCTCCCTGTGACCCAAGCCCCACTGCAAGATGAAGGGTACCTACATTTACAGACTTGCTGTGAAGACTGAGTTAGTAACACATAAAGCTGCTAGGATGATGCCTAGGACACAGCAAGGGCTCAGCTACAAACAGTTATCTCAGCACACCACAACACAACCAGTTTAATCTCTGTAAAACTAGGTTCATCGTGTTACCTCACTGTTTTAAGAATGAGCCTTACGGTCCATATGGAAGGATAAATAAGCCAGAGGAGCTTATTTATTAATAGCTTATTTAGTAATATTATTAATAATATTATTAATAGTAATAATAGAAAATACTGCAAGCCACATAATTTAAATTTTCTGGTAGCCACATTTTAAAAAGTAAAAACAGATAAAACTTTTTTTTTTTTTAAGTTTCTACTTCTTTATTTGAGAGAGAGAGATAGAGCATAAGTGGGGGATGGACAAAGAGAGAGGGAGAGAGAATCCCAAGCAGGCTCCACGCCATCAGCATAGAGCCCGATGCGGACCTCAATCTCAAGAACCATGAGATCATGACCTGGGCCAAAACCAAGAGTCGGATGCTTAACCAACTGAGTGAGCCACCTAGGCGCTCCCAAATAAAATTATTTTTAACAATACTTCCAATACATCCAAGATACTACTCTGGAAGCATAGCATTGTCTTATTTCCACACTAAGTCTTCAAACACTGTTGTCGATCTACTTGCCACACCCATCTCACACACATCTCAATGTGAACTAGCCACGTTTCAAGTGCGTAAGAACCGCCATGGCTCATGGCTCTGGTTCTGGGCAGTGCAACACAAGAGCACGTGAAGGTTTTGGTAACCACAAGCCTTCAACGATGTAGCCCTACTGCCCCTCCTACCCCCTTTTCATTATTCATCTTGATTCCTCAAGATCCAACTTACACA